CGTCCCCACCTACCCCCACCGCACCGCTTTCCCTTGCCTTACCTTTTTTGAAGTAGATTCAGATTCAGGGCTCCAATGCATGCCCAAACTCCCGCTGCTCGCACCGCCCTGACCGTCACGCCTACTCGCCCTCTTACCCCTCCCAACCCTCCCTCAATCTCCACCTACTCCACCCTTACCGCTACCCCCACCCTACCCTGCTTTACTTTCTTGAAGACTAAGGGTTCCAATGCATGCCCAAACCCCTGCCGCCCTGACCGTTACCAGTCCCCCCTTACCCCCCCATCACTCCCCTACCCTCCTCCCCCCCTACTGCTCCGCTACCCCTTTACCATCCCTGCCCCCGAGCCGAGTATCATGACAGCAGCATGGCACATCGAAGAGAACGACGCCACGCGGTTTCGCAGAGACGTTACTGTTCCAGCACGAGCAGAGTACGCTGGGGAGAAGGCAGCTTTGCCACATGTTGCAGCCACCAGTTCCGCAGCTGTTGAGAATGGCCTGGGATAAACACCGGCGCTTGGCACTCGGAGACTTGCTGCTGACTTGGGAGCTGGCACTCGGGTGGCCAGCACGGCAGCCTGGCTGCTCATGCTCTGCATGCTCAGAGCGTGCAATGACCAGTCCAGTGAAGCTGACAGCCCTTCCCCCTGCTTCCCTGCTTCTCAAGTGCGTGAGTCAGTAGTCCGGGAGAGCTATGGAAAAAGCTATTAACATGCCTTTGCCATCGCGACTTGGTGTGAAGTGTTGCCAGCACCGAAGGGCCCGTAAGATTCGGAAGCCGCTGTAGAGACCTTTGTGACAACAGACATTCACATTATTCACTTCACGCTCTTTCTTCTTTTCATCACTTCTCGTCACAGATTTACCAACTGATCTCTTGACACCGGCAAAATTCACGACTCTGACTCGTATGGTCTCTAGGCTGCGAGCAGCTTGAGCCGCGATACGCGTAGCTTCCACCACCTGGGGATGTGATGATGTGAACGCGGAGACCGTGGAAGCTGAGTGGTAAGTGGACTCACAGCGCTCTCAGGGCTCGGTGCTGCTTTAGGGCAGAATCGTGAACTTGTGCTCGGCGCCTCCACTCCAGATGACTGCGCTGCCATGCTGGCAAAGTGACCCACCTCAAGCAGGACATTCGTCCCATGTTCATGTGTCGAGGCCATGTGATCTTCATCTTGCAGCACGTGACGTACAAAGCGACGACCTCACTGATTAGCTCACACTTGGTCCTGGCCTGCTCTGGAGACCTGCAGTACAGGGATGTCTGGGCCGAAAAGCTTACACGATGGGAAAGGGCCACGATGGCCTCGCTTGATGGTTCCTTGAAATCACGGAGCCGACGGAGCCGCAATAAGTTCCCGGCTCTCGTCTAGCAATGCTGACCTGGCAAACAACACCGCTTGGCACATTGTGCTCTTCAGCTACTGATTGTCTCTTGTGTTTCAAAGGCAAATGTTGACGGAGTGCCGATGCACAAGAGGTTGTGGCTAGGCACCTTGACAGCGCACATTGCAGCAGCATGAGCTGCTTGCCGGGCCTTGCAGATCTACACATCGATGCATGTTTTTTTTGAGCTGCATGGGCTATGGCTACACGCATGAAATGCACGAACCGTTTTTGGAAGCACAAGAGGCTAATCTCCCTCCAAATTCACAGCAGATAACAGTGACACCGAGGGCATCCTTTGCCGGGGGGGGGGGGTGGGGTGGTGAGGGAAATTTTCGGTTGAAGTGCTGATTCACGTTGCAGCTATTGCAGCTGCGCTTTGCAACGGTCGCCGGTGATGGCACCGGCATTTGCCACTCACGGCGCTCTCTGCCAACCACCTGCCAAAACATGCACAACTATTCCGGCAAGCCAACATGCGAACCAATTACCCAAGTCGCTACTGCAATAGGACATCTGCGCTCAAGTCGCCGGCAGTGAAGTGATCTTTTCGTCCGAGGTTCCAAGGGCAGAGGCATGCTTCTGACATGCTAAAGTGTGCATAGTTGCACATCATTGTGCATGGCTGCACTGTGCAGGCCCGAACCTAACCTACGAAGGGAAGGAGCACAAAAGCCGTCACAAGCCCAACGTTTCCAGCTCCGCGACTCTGCGAGCTGCATCGAGCTGCGTACGCCCAGGCTGCCCAGCTGTTCCAGGCCCAGCCGGCCGTGGAAAGCATCTCACAAAATCTCACAAATGTATCTCACAATTTCGACTGCCCCTCTTTGCTTCTCGACTGGATGAACTTCTTCATCCTGTCAAAGAGCTCCTTCCCCATTGCTTTGTAATACTTGAAGGCTACGCTTTGCTCATTTGTACAAGCGTCTTTGAAGCTCATTCCATAGCCATCGTCGATGGTTCTTTTCAGCATTTGCAACATGTTTGGATTCATCTTGGTCATTTCCTTTGCCATACCCAAGCAGTGTGGCATCAGCTTGTCCGCAGGAACGACGCAGTTCACCAGTCCCCATGCTGCAGCCTCCTTGGCTCCAAGAAATCGGGCAGTGAAGTGCAGCTCCTTGGCTCTGCTCGGCCCCATGATGCGCGTCAGCCTGAGGGGGAGCGACAAAGCCAAGTGAAGCGGAGCTAGGACAGTGTGCACCAGAGGAGTCGCATGTGGTCGGAGATGGTATAGGGGTAAGTAACCCCTAAAAAGACGAAGTAACTGTCACTTCTTCTTCTCACGCTTTGGAGGACTAACCCTTCTTCTTCTTCTTCTGCAGGGCTTGGGGGAGACCCCCCGCGCACCCTCTCTCTCTCTCTCTCTCGCTCGCGCTCGCTACCGAGTCCGAGAGGCTTCTGGCTCAAGCCCCAGGCCGGTGCGATGCCGAACTTGGCATGCGTGTCTGCGAAGGAGGCGTTCTCGCTTGCAATCAGGATGTCGCAAGCGAGTGCCAGCTCGAAGCCTCCCGTTATCGCAAAACCGTTCACGGCGCAGATCACCGGCCAAGGGAACGTCTCGATCTGCACTCGTGGATCCTGCTCCGCAGGGGTCGGAAAGTAACCGGTGAAGATCCCATCCGCCTTCATCAGGTCAATACCTCGCAGACAGATGGCGGGGCAGCTAGGCTGCAGTGGCCCCGGCACGAACAGCCAGGCATGCCTTAAGGTTTCTGCACACTCAACTCGCGGATTCTATTTTGGACATCAGACCAATGCCTGCAGAGAAAGCTTTCTGTCCGGAGCCCGTAAGAATGACCGCGCGGACCTTCGTATCGCTTCGGAGACTATGGAAGACGGATGCAATATCGTTCAGCATGTCCATGGTCAACGCATTTTGAGCTTCAGGACGGTTCAATGTGACGATGTGGATGGCTCCATCGGCCTCCCAAGAACAATTTCGAGGCCAAAGCTCTGCAGACTTGTGAGAGCTGTCCCCCTCTCACTGCGCAAACGTCACTGAAAAGTGGCTAGTCAGCACCCGCTCTACTCATGTATGGCTTGGCGGGCTTGCGATTCAAAGGCTGCGCTTCAAAGCCCTCATTTGCAAGCCTCGCCTCTGTTGCATGCGAAATAAAGCCAGAGGTGGACATGGCTTTGCGGCCCCGGTGCTTTTGATCCAGACTTCAAGGCCACAGGCGCTGGGAGGCGGAGACGCTGGAACAGCTTCACAGGACGGAATGCCAACGAAACACTTAGCTTCTTTAGATGCAGCTAGAAGAGCTCGACCGCAAAGCAGTCAACACGGTTGCATAGGAAGAAACCGAAACCACTGCGCGAGATGTGCCTGTCGCACAAGCTGCTCACCGTGCGAGTGGTGATCGAACTCGATCTCATCTGCATCGAAGACGGTTTCCTGTCGAGCGCAGGGTGCGTAGCGAGCTTTGCAACACAACCTTGAATAACTGCCAGCTTGCCGACGAGGTGCCCAGTCAACAGCCCATGCAGCTTGCAAGCAAATTGCAAGCAGCATCTACCGAGATCTAAGCCGTCTGCCTACTTGAGCCGAGCACGCGAACTAATTCCCATAGCCCTCAGCCTGAGCGCAAGGCTGCCTCCTGCTGAGGAACCCCGAGAGTTCGAAGAGCTTGGATTATCTCTTTGACCAGGTCCATGGGGGCGGTGCCTGAGACTGATGAAAGATGAGTCTGCAATGAGTCCAATCGCCCGAAGCAGTGGGTCAAGGCACTGCCACCGCCCTCCAGCGCCAGCTTGGCAAAAGTGTCTACCTGTGTCACGAGCCAGTGCCGCTCTCGTTGTAAGTTGTAAGCAAATATGCAGGCCAAGCTGCAATTGCCGTGCTTGCGTAGCTTCTCATCTGTCCTTCTTTGAGACCAGAGCCTGCCAGGCAGTGAAGCTGACAAAAGTCAACATGCCCTTCAGACGCCACGCTTGCTGACCCCCCAGCCTGCGAGAGGCGCAACGCTCGCTCTCGCAACCTGTCAAGCAGCGCGATAGCTTGTGGCTGTAGTAGCATCCAGGTCTGTCTCCGATGTCAAGAGCAGAAGTCTAAGGAGCCTAGAACGCGAAGGGAGAAGCAACATAAGCAAAGGAGCTGCTCTATTTGTGCCGCCTCTTCTGGTGTTTGCAGCCACTTGGCTGCATTGACTGCAGCTCGAACGGCGGCCTCCTGCCTGGCATGCAGGTTGGGGTTGGGCAAAGATGTGCCGCGCCATGCTTGTCCTGGCATTTTCGGGTAGTAAGCTGGCACCCCATGCGCATACGTATGCCACGAATGCCGCGAATGCAACAAGCCATCGGCGACGCAAAAATAGATGTCGCCAATGGGGCACCGGCAGCACGGGCAGCTGTGGTGACCTTGCTCAAGAACAGAAGGCGGGAACCAAGAACACACAGCTGACTCAGCTGACAGCCATTGAACCTCCAAAAGCCTTATCCTGCTGAGCACTCGAACCATTTTCTTCTGTTCCGGGCTCTTGTAGCATCCTGCGAATTAGTCTTCGCTCTCTCCATCATCCTCGTCAATTGCTTCGTCTGCCGCCAGACATACCTGGTAGTCCGAACGCTTGAGCAGTGGAACCGCCGGCGGAACACAACTCCGTGGACTTCGTGGCTAGTATCAGCAGGGAACTCGCAAGAACGGGTACTTGCGAACCTCAGTTTCGCATGCCACCGGTCGAAAACGGTCTTGGCTGTCGTTCTACTGGCACGCAGAGCTCTTGCTGATCAGCAGCCTTGTCTGCCGGCGGCGGCGGGGAGGTTGAGTATGGGTAGCACTCAAACTCGTAATGGCACCGGCGGCAAGCCCAGCAAGGACCCAGGAAGCCGCACACCTGCAGTCGATTCATTTCCTGAAGTCGCCCGTCACTGCCGAGTGTCTGCTTTGTTGCTCGCGCAGCCTCCGTGAGAACCAGGAATCCTCGACAGGTATTATCGCTGCAGCAAAGAAAGCTCCCTATACAGGGGAGTGCTGCTGAACATGGCTTAGTGGCTTAGTCATATAGTCGACGCAATTCTGCCAACCCGTGATGTCCCGAAGCGCTACTTTCCCGACTGCTTTTTTGAGGCACAGAAGTGGTCCGAGGCTGGTGCTCAGAAACGGAACCTGACACAAGTGCAAGCGCGTGTCCTCGTCGATAATGTGCTGTGAGGGGTTCGCTTGGAAAGCCATACACGATTGGTATGATGGCTTTCGTTGCACCACCTGCAGCTTGCGCATGGCAGCTGAAACTGCCAAAATCACTCTCCGTTTTGATTTTTTGATTATTCCGGCAAACTGCTGATCCCACGTGTCTCGCATGCATCAGTCAAAGCTTCCGGCAGCGTGGACAAATTCTGTCCAGCTCCTCGTCGGGGAGGCCAGAGAAGGATGCACTCACCGCACTCACACCACAAGCCCCACAAACATCCCACACAGAAGGCTAGTCACATTAGAGTCATATTGTGCGTCAGCCACGGCTTGAATTCTTGGACCTGTCCCGTCTCCTGGCGCCATCGCTGCGTGAACCTTTCGAAGGCCTTGCGCTGGACAGCGTGCGGCTTGAGCTCGGCACCTTGTGAAACGCAAGACCCGTTTCCGAGTCTGCTCATGCCCGGCATGTCGAGATATGCGTGGAGATAGCACCGGCAGAAAACCATGAGTTAAGACTACTCCCAGCTCATGCATCTGCAACGCGAGACCTGCCTGATGATGTGTAGCCACGTTTTGGGCTCACGTCCGAGCTCATGATGTCGGTTTGGCGTACCTCACTTTGGTAGCTTTGTGTGCTCGAAGTCCAAGTCGGCGACACGTTGTGAGAGCAACAAGTGAGATCCGCGCCTCACCGAAGACGCTCCTCCAGTTTGGAAGAGTGTATTTCTGCGCGCCCCATGCAGCGTTAATGTATGTTTTCAGGCTTTGCATCAGTTTCCCCTGTAATGCGGCTCAATCAGCTCCTAGCACACGGTAGGGACCCGTGACACTTGCATCCAAGCAGCTCGAATGCCCTCGTCCACAGCACGTCATCGTGCACCACCCGAAGATGAAGTTCGGAGGAAACGGCCAGCAGTGCCCCGCAGTCTGCTACTTCCAGGAAGCCTGCAGCCTCAGCTGTGATCTGCGTGGTTCCATCATTTTGAATCAAGTTAGAATCATGTTCCATCTGCTGCCAGTGTTGGCTGCAGGCAACTTGCAAGAGAAGCTCAAGCGCAGCGCAGCAGCGGGAAAGAAGGGAGAATCCAGCTCCTGCCAACCAGTCCCATGTTTGGACGGTCCGCGAGGTAGAGTGTGGGATGCTGTAGCAGAAGTGGCACGTGACATCTGCCTGGCTTTTTTCGACAGTCTTGTCGTACGCTCTTTTCCATGTGTGATTTATCTGCTTGCCATGGATGGCAAGAGCAACATGGACTGTGACTGTGCCAAGACACAAAGGTCGCGGGTCGAAGTCAAACGGGAGCTCCAACGAACATGCTGAGCGAAAGTAGCCTCTGCCCAGTCACTCAAGTGGTCGTCGCTCAAGTGGTAATGCTCCGGTTCATCTGAAACGTGAACCCGACCCTTTTTTTTGCGAGTCTGCAAAAGCCGTGTGGCCGTTGGCAGCTTTTCTCGGATCATTGGAGAAACGCTGCAGTTGGTTCTCCAGCTGCGCTTCCGAAGCATGAGGCCCAACGAGACCTGCGGAAAAGAGCCAAAAGAGCACAAACAAAAAGAGAGAGCAAACTCAAAGAGATTGAAGAGCAGCAAGCGAATCCGGGCAGCCCTCAGTCGTGCTCGCGTGTTAGTGATCTGTCAGTCAATAGTCGTCGGCTACTTGTACGCTTGAGAGATGAAAGGACTCTTCTGGATTCACCTCGCCTCGGAGAGTTGCAAGGGGCTCCTTCCATTCAGGCTTTTCCATGTTCGTGGCGACTTTTCTTCTGCCGGTCTTTAGCTCTGGCTATGCTTTTGGGTGCTTTGCTTTGACAAGTGCACTCTGGATCACTTCTGGTCCTTGTATGCCGGCAGTACCACAAAAGGTGATCCTCACTCAGGCTATATTCGGGACCCGTGCCTTGCGACAAAACCTGAAGTGTGGTTGCAGTTGCTGTCTAGGGGGACTGCTTGGACGGGAGCTTGTGAGACATGGTGGACTGGAGCTTATGATGTAGCGTGGCAGTGAGCTCCTCACCAGCTTCAAATGGCTGAGGTCTACCATGACACATGCTGAGGCGCTGAGGCGCTGAGGCCCCTTCAAGACCTTCAAGAGCAGCAGCAAGATGTTGAGGCCAAGGATGCTTGATGGCTTTTGTAGAGTCACGCAGATGACGAACAAAACAACGGCAACTGTCTTCGAAGCACCCAAGTCGCACCCTTTTTTCGTCACAGTGATGGGGCCTCGAAGTAGCTTTCGATGTGGCAGAGCGCCTGCAGGTCTGGTTACGGATGGAATGTTCTAAGGCGCATGCAAGAATCAAGAAACATCCGAGGACCATCAGCACCTGCCGCAAGTTGCAGTGGGAACCTGCGCTGCTTGTGACCTCACCCGAGAAATTGCACAACAAAAAGGCTCGTTTGAACAAGCTGCTGAGCATGCCATCGTTCATCGGATGTCCATCGGCCTGCGCCCGTCCAGCTTGTGGCAGTCCCAGGCTGCTGATTGTAGGCTCGACGGCCTGAGACAAGTTGGGCTCAAGTCGACCATAGTCAATTGGCAGGGAGGCCAGCGCTTGACGGTGCTTGACGGCACACGGTGGAAGCCGCGCATATGCTATTGAGGGCCATTGAGGGCATTCCCTTCCTGAACTCTTCCACGGGAATGATGTAGCTTTCCAGGCCAAACCAGAAGCTCACCTTTTTAAGGAAGCGGCCAAAGAAGCAGCTAGACGGTCAGCCAGCGCCTGCACAAGAGCTTAATTGGCAACTCGGGCTGACTGGCTGACCGACTTAAAACCTGCGAGAACCTGAGAGATGACGCAGAGCACGAGGATGGGGACATGCAACAGGCTATACGCATCCATATGGCGCACGCATGCGCGCGCCTCGCACGCATAGAGGTAGGCCTGCACTGGAACAGTCACTGTTGGACACAAGTGTTTTCGAGTCGTTCTTGTTAAGGCAGGAAGCATTTCGTCAAAATGCTTTGGCCTGTGGCCAATGGTCCTGCCACATAGTCCAGGCCGGACGGACGCGATTCGTGGAAGCTGTTGTGGCTGTGGAGACTGTGATGAGAAAGTCCTCCATCCTCCAGCAATGCAGTATAGCATGCTTGCCCAGAACAGTCGCAGGGGATTGAAAACAAAACCCCTCGGCGCTGTTCCAGTTACCGCGAGGCTATCTGCGTGGCTTCCAAAAACTCGATAAAGGTCCGCGAGACGTAGTTTACACGGGTGTTCGTTCGATTTCCACCACCACCATCACCAACAGCTGCAGTAGCAAGAGCCTGAAAACAACAACAAGAAAGGAACAAACCATCAAGCTAACGAACGAACAAACGAACGAAAAACTTATAAAACCAATAACAACCTGACAACGACCCAGCATGGCGTCCCATACTTTCATCCTCCTCGTGACCTTCAGCACTGTTGGTTCTGAAAAGGATATGGATGAGTGCTCCGGTACGCCTAGCGAAGGTTCACTCAGGCTTGGCGAAGGTTTGCGGGAGCTAGCCGCGCGGATTCAGGTCCCCTTCATCTGTACACATTCGGAAAAACAGGAAAAAACAAAAAACACACACAAGCTCCGCTCCGGATGCCCCAAGGATGGTTCAAGGATGCCAAGGGTCGAGCTTCTCCAGAGAATGGGCTTGAACTCGCGGCTTCGTGAACCAAGAGCACGTCTTTTTAAATGCAGCTGCCAGCCTGCGGAGGAGTGTTCCGTGGCCGGAAGTGAACCAATGAGATCAAGGAGTTAAAGGTGTGTTTTTTGGTATTGTTTCGATATTGATTCTTTTCGTTGGGGCTTAGTCAGGCACCCACTTTAGCTGCCTCTTGGAACTGCTGGATTTTGGCACCGCCTACAAGTGTTTGGGGTCACATGACGCTGTAACTGCTGTAACTCATTGCAGCTCCATCGTTCCCAGCTCTTGCAGTCATCTCCTGGATTGTGCATAGGAATTGCTGGCAGCTCCGCGACGTCGCAGGCAGCATCCTCGTACACCGTGGTCGAAGTCGAAGTGCTGACGTTGCGCTGTGGACTTGGAGCCTCGCTGCAAGACCTATATGTCTCGGTGTTGAACTCGAAATGCCCACAATGCTACAAGTAATATATGCAACACATACCAAGAGTTCGTGGGCTTTTCGCAATCTCAGCATGCTAGCTAGCTTTTTCAGATACACATACTGGGGCTGCTTTGGTGTCCTTACCAAAAGTCTAGGAAGCCCCGGCCTGGAGGTGCCGCTGTTGCAAGAGTGCATCCTGCAGGAGCGCTGGCTCTGCCGGGAGGTGGAACTTCGCCAAGACTGCCTGCAGCTCCACCAGTCGCTCTTCAGGCGTCTGGGCGGCCTGCGCCACGTGAAGGCGAAGATCTTCCACCGACTTCTGTGAAAGGGTGGGGACCATGTCCCTTGCGTGGATAATTCCAGTGACAAAATGTTGCATTTTGCAGGCCAGCGCTTGGTCAACGACTTGTGGAACACCAAAGACGAAGGCATGCACCGGCCAGCCAGCCTCTTCACGAAGCATCCAAGCCAGCAAAGCGGCGACGGCTCCACCCAAGCTATGGCCCGTGATCAGGATCTTTTTAGGTCCAGTGGACGCCATTTGGATGATGTGCCTCTGCAACAACGGGAGAACCTTGCTGTAAACCCATCGGGCGCTCGCCAGCACACCCTCATGTATAACATGCTCCTTGTAAAGCACCTGCGTGGCTAGCACGTCTGAAAGAACGTCCGACATGCTGAAAGTACCACGAATGGCGACAATGATTGCAGAGCTCGCGCGATCATGACAGATCCACCATACAGGCTTGAAAGGGTGAGCAACGGTCTCGGCTTCCAGTATGTCGTCATCATGGATGCCACTCATGCGGACAAAAGCTCGACGTTCAGAGATGCAGCACGCCAGCGTCAAGCAAGCTGTGGCCGGAAAGACAAGCCCATAAAGCCTGGAGGGGGGGTAGGTGTTCCACAACTTAACAAAGGTGAAGGAGCGCACTTGCAGCTTGTGTAGCTTGTGCCTGTTTGAGTATGCAGCCAATGCAAAACGAGCCTTGGATGCAAAACAAATGCCTCAAACCACTCAACAAAGACCTATGCCAATATCGGAGAGGGAGAGGCAGGGGGGGAGGAGGAGGAGGAGGAGGAGGAGGAGGAGGAGGAGGAGGAGGAGGAGGAGGAGGAGGTGGTGGCAGGCACTTAAGGATGTAGTGGCATGGAGCGGTAGAAGTGAGCAGTAGCGTCACAGAAGCGGTACAGCAGCAGAACTCTAGCAAGATGCAGCTCTGTTGCTAAGTGTGCTGACAAGCGCACCACATCCAGAAGCAAGTCGTCGCACACCTCACTTCGCCCTTGAGGCCTGGCAGTGATCGAATATCGAAGATATCGAAGGATGCTTTTTGGCTTTCGTATTGCTGCCACAAAAGGCACTTCACGACTCAAGGCCCAGGGGCGGCATGAGCTCAAGCTTCAATACATTGTGCATTGCCGGCCTCGGTGCGTGGCCATGTTTGAGTCGTTTCAGGCAGTCTTGCCACGTTGTGCCACGTTGTGCCACGTTGTGCCACATCGTGTCACTAAGTCACGAAGTCACGAAGCCACAGCTCCGCAGGGCACGGATCGGAGATATTCTTGCATTTAAGGACCAGGCCATTCACTCGGGGCCGGGGCAACGCGGTCGAACTCAGCATCTTCCTAGTGCGTTGTTCCAACAATGCCTCAATGTATAGTTGCTTAAACTTCCGGGGCGTTCCATGCAGTCAAATGCAGTCCTCAGCCTCCGCATTCGCCAGCAAGGCTCTCAAGCCGGCTGTCCACGTCGCAAAGCTCGGTGAGCCATGGGTGTACCTGGGGTCGTTTAGGGGGCTACTGTAGTACTGTAGTGCATCCTGTGGGTGCATGTCGTGTGATTGCTGCGAAATTGGCTGTGCAAACAGATTTAGCATCCTGCTTCACCGTAGTGTTGGCATGTCACTCCATCTCGCTCAAAGGTACTCAGCGCTCAGGAGCGCAAGGGATTGCACAACGGCCGCCTGCTGAGCCTGGACGCTGCTCGCTGGCTGCTTGGCTGAATGTGGTGTGATCTCCGACAATCGAAGTGAAAGGTTGCGAACCGCCACAGTGAAGAAGAGGCACTCCCAAGCAATTCCGAATCTGGGTTTCAAGATTCAAGCGAAGTGAAAGAGGCTGGCCTGTGCTGCTTCGAAGTGGACTTGCCGGCTGGGCGTGAGGCAGAAGCATCGCCTCAAAAACTTGCAGCCGCCTGAACCATAAGTTTATATAGTCTATTGAGTGCTATTCTCTCCATCGCGGTATCCGCTTGCCACCGAAATTACTTGGCAAGTGACATGAAGCACTTCCAGCGAGATTCATGACGCTGCAAACGATCTGCGCCAGCTTCGTTCCTCGCCACAGCGAGAGAGAAAGAGCTCTCAAAGGGTAGCCCCACCACAATGGTGTGCAACAACTGGCAACAGTGTGGAGATCCGAGAGCGGTCCGGAGAAGCCGCTCCAGACTTCGTCTTGGCCGCGGCCGCTCCACGTCTGAGGCAAACACTCTTATGAGCACTCCAGTAGATACCGTGCTAAGGGGCTGGGAGGCGTCCTGTCAATATCCGGTTTAGATAGTGCGCACATCTGAGCGCATGCAACACTAAGTCGCAGCATCAACTAGGTGACACGACTTGGCTGGAATCCTGCCCAAACGAATGGATCTTCCTGTTGAGCTACTCCGGCGGCTCCTGATGCACGAGTCGTCTTCACGAGGTGTGGCGCTGCGTCACTGGTTTCTTCACAGACATGTCACATGAGCATGAAAGCGTCACAGGCTGCACCCGAAAGTCCCGCTTCATCTTGTGGAGCACGACGCTCGGCCGGAATTGGCACAGTAAGCATCAGGAATGGCCCATTCTGGCCAAGGTAACGAGTCTGGAGATGCTTGATGTTGAGGCTTTGTTTCAACTCATGCGCGTGTTGGGAAGCTCATTGCTCAGGTCAGCAGTCGAGCACTTGCGGCACAAGCTAGTAGGACTCTATGTTGTCCCCGAACAAGAAAACCACAGCGCTGCACTGCACATGCTGCACTGATGCCGAGCCAATGGCTTTTTGAGAAAGGCAGACCATGTGACACAAAAAAACAAGAAAAAAGCCAAGCGCACCAGGATCCCTGCATCCTCCATTGTGGCTAGTCCTGCCCCGGTTTGCCTTTCATAGATGTCCCAAAACATGCCAAGTACGGGCCAAGCTCTCTGGTAGACTTCGAGCACCCGGCAAGAGTGCGTGGGCAATGGCTCTTCCGGCAATATCCTGAGAACTGGAGAGTGGGGAGCTCCAGGGTTTGCAAAAAGCGACTTCGTCTGAGAAGGTCTGAGATGGCCACGCCAGCCAAAGCGGCAGGAACCTCTTTGGGTAGATCTAGCCAGTCTCTGGGGCCACTTGCGCGGCTTGAGAGGGAGCTTGTGGCAGCTTGTGGCAAGTTGCAGCAGGGATTCTGCGGGCGCTTCCCCCAGGTCTTCGTGTGGCGTGTTGCAATCCACAGGTTTTGGAGCCGAAAAGCTCTGCATTAGCCCTGCATAGCCCCGCATGGTTGCTCTTGGTCCTTGAGCCGCCAGCCCCAGCGGCTCGTGTTGCGGCAGCGGCGGCCAGTCCCACCTTTCCGAAACAGCGTGGAACAGCATGCTGATTTCGTGGCCATTGATGCCCGGCTGCGGATTTCCACCCCTGTTGCGGGATGTCAGTGCCTGTTCTCCAGATTTGCTCTGCAACGCTGCTGCCTGGCTTGCGGGCAGGATGCACGAGGGAGGTTGCAACAGCGAGCCGACAGGATTTGCACAAAGACCTGGCGTGCAGAGCCTTGGCAGCCTCCTCAGAAGCCGCTGTTGCAGCAATCCGCGGCACCAAGTCCTAAGCAAGACCCAGCGGCGCGGAACTCAACCCCAATCACATTAGCTGCCGCTTTCGTGTCTGCTCTGTCATTACTCGTCAAAGTCCTATGTAAAGGAATGCAAGGGGTCCTTACATCAGAGTCCACACGACCCTGAGGTCGTCACAGCTGGGAGCAGAGAGGCATAGGCCACTTCCACCTAGCAGAAGTTGGAGGGCTGAAAGCCGCAACATGCTTCAAAAGGGAATGATGACATGTGAGTCTCTTAGTTTCCGGCAACTGCAGCTGCGATCTCCTGCCAGCCTGCCTCCGAAAGCAAACGCCAACCGTTGAAAATCCATGGCTGCCCCGCCCACCACCCCCCCCCACACGGCCGGCATGCCTGCTTGCGACCCATTTCGGCAGCAACTGCTCGTGTCGAGGCCGAGCCGACCTGACGTTGTGAAGAGTGACGGAACAAGCGTGTCATAAGAATATGCAAGCTGGGTTTTGTAGTTCTGTGATGCAGTCGATGCTTTCATCACTTTCATCAAGTAGTGGATCGATCTGTTCCTTGGACGTATTTTCTTTCATGCTAGCGGCCGTCTTTGCGATGAGGCTTTCCTTCGCGATGCCCACGGCTTTTGCAGCCTGCCTGAGAAAGCGTCTGCTAATGTCTAGCAAGGTGCACAGAACACATGTGAAGACTTGGCATCAAGCCTGGCCGCCAGTGCAACTTCCTTGGAGGTCTTGCCGGACCTGCTGAAGTTTTCACCCGGCTCACGTCTGCTGCCTGAAAGATACCAAGGCACGGAGTGCCTGGCAGCCCTGTCTGCCACTGCTTCTGCAGCTTTTCGAGCCCCCAGGAGTAGTGCCTCCTGGGTCGCATTCGCCTCAGCCAGACCAAACCACCTATTTGCCATTTGAGGTCAGGTATGGCTGAGGTTTGCAAAGAAGAACAGTAGACAGGACATGAACATTTTGCAGGTTTTCCTGGCAGCTCCACTTTGTCCTACGCGAACGCGCTACAGTGGCTAAAGTGTCAGAGCCCTCATCTCTGCCACGAAATGCAGGAAGTGTGCTTTGGGATCGCCATGCCTTAGCAACCGTGCAAACATCTTTCGGACTGCTTCCGCTGTGGCACCCTCATATGGTCCAGAGTCTAGGAAATCGTTACATCCTCGCAAACGGGCCTCCAAACAGGCAGACGTCATGAGCATGGGCAGTCCGTGCTTCAAACTCGAGGCAACTTCCCTTGATAAGGGGCACGAGATGGCACGGGCACACATGTGATGCATGGATCTGCACTTAACTGCGCAGCTCTGAAGCTTCCCACCTCTACACATTTCTGGGTGACCCAAGGTGCTGGATGCTCAGCTTCTCAAAGCTTTGCATGACCATGGCCTTCAGGATGTGGTCAGTTATTCCCACCTCAGCAGTCACAATGCCAACTGGCTGTGGCTGAGGTTGGATTCCTGAAAGCATGGAGCCAAGCCGCCACCAACTTGCTGGCCGCCGCCATCAAGGCAGAAGCAGTGGTATAGACCATGAACACATCAGCCAGCCGCTCAAGCAGAGGCCCATCTTGGTAGACCGCAATCTGTAGAACCCTTGGCAGAATTTCTGAGGCGTCCCCTTTGAAAGGTCTGTCCGCAAGAGCATGCGCGGCCAATTGCTGGATATGACCATCTGGATGTCCAAGCCCCGCAGATAAGCACTCAAAGGATCTTTGAGTTAGCGGGGCCTTGCTCAGCAGTTCAAAGCATCGTCTAGAGTGGCAATCGCAGCACATGCTCCACAAAATGACCAACGCTTCGCTGACATGTGTACATGGAGCGCATGAAGCCTGAAGCAGAGATGCGCACAAATCCAACGCGTGTTCTTGCATCTCACTCTCGGCCGGGAGGGCTGCCATTGCCACGCAAACGCTGTCGGCCAAACGCAGCCCACACACGCTGCCACTTCTGGCAAGTGCAGCCAGCAGGGGTGCCGCACAGGGCAGCAAATGCTCAGGAGATCGTCCGCCGAGCAGCGTCTGCAATGCTTGGATGATCGGCTCATCGAATTCACTTGTCAAGGGTGCGAGGCCCCCCAGAGCCCCGAAGCGGCGCTCGGTAAGCGCCAGCTGATGTCCGGTGACGTATCTGGGATCCCAGTTTGCCAACTGCTTCAAGACATCCTGTCGGAGTGGGCCTGCGAGAACCACCAACTCTGCCACATCCGACACGCTGTTGCGCAGGCATCGACAAAAGCCACTTACCAAACTCAACGGCATCTGAGGGTTCGACCACACTTCTTGAAAGTGTGAGGCAAACAACACTCGCGACTCAGCAGACTTCGACACTTCAGTCAGAACTGCCAACCCTTCCTCCACAACTTCTGCATCAAGAAGACCCAGCACAACGCTGAAAATTTGTGCTGTGTCACTAAACAAAACGCCTCGAGAGCATACCCTTTGGAAAAACCGCAAGCTGTCAGCGACCAGCAGAGGGGAGCTCAGACCATTTGTCTGAGCACTGACAGCTGCAGCTAGGCAAAGAGCTTCCTCGTTGACCTCCAGAAATTCCGAAGCAAAGCACAGAGAAACATGTCGAACATCCATCGCGCGCTCATTCTCAAGCGGTTGCGAAAGAAGCTGCTGAAGCCCCCTGGTGATGTGATTGCAGTCTCGGCCGATGGTTGCAATCAGTGTCAAAAGGTCATGGCCGGAGCTCGTGTGAAGGCCTGATGCGCCCAGAGTCTCGTCATATGCGTCTGGCACGTTGGCTGCCATAAGCACATGCTGGAAGAAGTTGTCTACCAAATAATCCTTGAGCTCCCGGTCCTGTTGCCGGCTCAAAACCCGCAGAATGGCAACCAAGCTATCATAACTTGCCAGCCCCTCGTCAGTGTTGAAATCCACCTGCGGGCCAGCAACGCTCCGGATCTAACAGTATCTAACTGTCACTGCCCTCTGGGACGGGTCACTGCAGAAGCTTGCGCTCGGACCTGCATCAGTTCGGCTGCAATCCTCGCAAGAAGCTTGGAATGAATGGCAGCAATGCTTTGTCTTTGCCTGACTCTGCTGAACTTGCCGAGGTCTCTAGGCCTTCGGTCCAATTCAGCTGCTCATCTCATATAAAGCACCATAGACATCAACCATTGGAACAAGCTGTTTTGCTGTGATTTTGCTGTTGTGTGGTTGTCATTGCTCCGTCATTCCTTGTCCTCCATTGTCGGCGCGGGAGAAAACAAATCACGGGATGATAGTAAGAACAGACTAGCGGATATCAGGCCTGAATTTGCTCCAAGAAGAATGCAGTTGAAAATCAAAGCACGCGTGGGCACACCCGTGACCCTCCTCCAAGCGGAAGAGGAACCCAGCAAAAAGAGGGGGGGGGACAAATGAGGCTGCTGTCTTTTTGCGTCGCTTTCGAGTCCAGCACCAGGTCAGAACTCTCTGTCCTCCTTTTTCGGCCCTTTTGCTTGACATCTTTTTACGCTGCTCACCCTCCGCATGGCCTAGGTGGTGTGCTTCGAAGAGCTCGGATCGACCCTCAGTCGGCTGAAGCCTCTTGTGCCGTGCCTTCTCTTGGGGTGGCCTCTCTTGTTTCCCTAATATGCAGGTCCAAGGCCCCTTATGTCATTCTGGGCCGAAGGTGCTAGGGATTGACGAGTCCGTCTCAATGTGCCTGTTTGACCTGTGACTAAATACAACTTAAACACAACACAGCCGACCCCAAAAGCAACTCTGTCACATGTTGTGCGGGCAGAAGCAGAATCGTCCTTGCCAAGCTTGATCTCTGGCCCGGAGAGGGGTCCGTCAGCAGTTTCGAGGCACAGCTTGCCACAGCGTAGATGCTGGCAGGCCTCAATGACAAGCCACATCTAACTCACCCACGGGGCAATTTCTCGATTTTTCACGTGCTCTCCGCCTTGAGGAGGCGTCCACCACCAAGTCCCAAACAGCCTCACATGGCAGGCCCCTTCTTGCATTCTTAGGAAAAGTGTGCGGCGCGTGTTCTCTTCCAAGGCTTGCGCCGGAATTGTCGGGCTCTGTGCTGCGAGCTGGAGGGCCAATTCCCATTTTCCTCGTGTCGATACTGCTCGGGCCACCTGGGCAGGGGCTCAGGCAAAAAACAAGTTGGCAGGTATTAGCAACATTTGTTTGATGAGTAGAGGCGGAAAGCAGATGAAAGCAGGCGTTTTGAATCTGTGCAATTCGGGGACCCACCGGCTGGCCTCAGCACAAGCTGCTTGCCACTCGTCAGACTTCTCTGAAAACGGGCAGTTTGCACACGCCGCCAGGCAATCCCAATGCGCCTGGGAATGCGACAGCTACTGCAGCTGTGGAATCAATGACGATGGAGCTGCTATGACTGCTGTGATGTAGTTTCCATCACTTCAGGCGCTCGAAGCTGCAGAAAGCTACCAAGCAGACCTTTGCGGCCCATTGCAAATCCTCAAGGAGCCTGGCCTAGCTGGATCAGCGGCTCAGGCGTATGGACCGACAAAGGATGTGCGGCCGTTTGCTTGCTTTGCTAGCTTGCGTGGTTGCTTTTATTGATTCTCGCCTGGCGGCTATTTCTGTGGGTGCATATGCACATGCGTGTGCACGTGCACTTGTGTGAGAGGGTGGGTTGCCATTGCGTGTTGCTACTTGGCTGTTGTGTTGTTTGCTTGTTTGCCCGTATGTACGAATGTATGGTCTTGTATGCGTGTAGATAGTATGTTTGTTTCTCAATAAAATGTGGCATTCTTGATTGCCTTTTCCAGTGTATGTGGCTGTGTGCGAAGTATGTTCTGCCTTGGCTCTTTCTTCTTATGGCCTCGCCGGATAGCGCACTGCGCAAGTTTCTGGGCTTGTCGCATTGGCTTGCCTTGGACCACTCTTCAAACCTGTATTGGGTATCTGTTTATCTGGTCCTGGTGGTGCGTTTACTGTTACGAACTTCAGGACTAAACTGCAACAGGTAGGGGAAAGAAGGGGCTGGCATGCACTTGCTACGCGATGCTACACGGCGCTACACGCCTCCGTGGCAGCCGTCCGAAGCAAGGGAAGCAGCGCAGTGTGGGCGAAGCGCTGTTGAGCAGCCTGCTGCGCCGCTTCCGAAGCGGCAAGGAGGCCTTGAACCCAAAACATGCTCATGGTTCGCATCTTTGAACTTCTCTCTCTGTGATTATGAGGATGAAGCGCGAGTCTGACTTGCCCTATGCCTTGCTGAGCTCAAGGCCCAAGTTCCTCCCATCCTATCGACGTGGCATGCTGAACAGTCCAACCACAACGACAACAACGTCGCAGAGCAACCACAGTTGCCTGTAGTGCGCGCAAGAAGGCAGCCGCCACGTCCAAGGACAAGTGCGGAATAGTTGGCAACTCGTTCCGCCCAATGTAAATCTTCCTCGGCAGCAATGCGGACACAAAGGATGCGAGATATGGTGAGGTCTGAAGGCACATGACTTGCTAGTCGTTTGGTCGGCCAAGCAGCTTGAAGTACAAGGCGATAGCTTGCAATGCTTCGTTCTTGACAGGTTGCCACCCACTCGTTGGCCTTATGCACGTGTGGGAGAGTGACACTACACGCGACACGGTGCTGAGAACTCTGCAGCCAAGCCACACGTTTTGCTGCGGTGCCAAAGCAGAGAACCATGCATTCAAGGCCTTGTGGCAGAAGGGTGTGTGCTGCTTTGAAAATCTGAAAGCAGGGACTTGAAGTAGATCCGATCTGATGGTGCTATGGTCTGTAGACCTGAGGCCCCCAACGAAGCACAACAAATTCCAAAGATAACTGCTGCAACATCAACTTGTCATGTGAACGGGAGCAGATGTGCTGTGACATTGCTTCTCTTCTGTGAGACAGCACTGGTTGCACCCGTGATGCTCCCTTACAGCTTCCCTAAACATGAGATAACTTACTAGATAGGACTCAATGTTGCAAGCTCGGCAAGCATACGCCGGATTGGGCCTTCTCACGCTGCGCTGGCGAGATGTACGGCCAACTGAAGAGCCTCAGGCCAAGACCACGACTACCTTGCTACAGTGGCCTTGATCGCGCTGCGGCAGTCGTGCTCGAAGGAGCACGTCTAGGGTGGAGACAGCATGGCAAGAAGACTTTACGTCTTCAATTTAGCTTCATGCTGATCAGCGATACTGAGCTTTGGACACAGCATACTTCAAAGTGTTGGCAGCGTGGTAGGAAGCGCAAACATCGCTTCCCTGCAGCACCTGCGAGCACACCTTGCCCGGAGAGCTTTGCAAACTACACATCAGCTTACCAGCGCACACCCGCACACGGCGCACACGCACGCTTGAGGAAACAGCAGCGTGAGTCTCGCCACTTGATGCCACATCTAACTGTATCGAACCTAATATGAAGTCACAAAGAAAGACCAGAAAGGCACCCACCCATCAATACCCCGAGAGCGCTGCGTCCACAGCGCACGGTGATCGTCGAAGTTGAAGGAGCGAAGCCTGCTGCGAGACCACTACTCGCCGGTCGCCCTCACAAGCCGGCTAGATGCAGGGTGGTGCAGCGGCCAAATGAAGCGTAACAAAGGCCGCATGAAAAAGCCCAACAACATGAACGGTAAATTCACGCTTCACGTTGCGAATTGTAATTTCCCTTTCGTTTTGGACTTCTATACTCTTAACACGGGGCAAAAGACAAGAAAAGAAGTGAACCTGCGATAACCGTGAATACTCCGTGAATAGAATGAAGATATGAATAAACGTGCGTTCACTTTGCTCACGTTACTACTAATTTAACTGTTAACGTACTTCGCATCCTTATCCTTTATTAGGATTGTAAGTATACTGTCAATGAACCTTAATCATAGTAAACGGGAAAATAATATGAACAACAAGAGAGAGAGAGAGAGAGAGAGAGAGAGAGAGCGTCTGGAACAAGCAGACCCGGATCGGGCCTCCTTCCCCCTGAGCCAACCCTTCCCCCCATGCAAAATTTTCTGAGCCGCCCCGCCCTGACGCTTGGAGAGCTGCAAACCGAATGCTGCAGAGGTCCCGCCCGTGCTTTTGCAGGGGGTGCCTCAAAACCCCCCCCACACCCCCCCACCCCCCCCCCCACCCCCCACCCCCCCACCCCCCCCCCCCCCCACCCCCCCCCCCCCACCCACCCCACCCCCCCACCCCCCCCCCCCCACCCCCCCCCCCCCACCCCCCCAGCCCCCACCCCCCCCCACCCCCCCCCACCCCCCCTTTCCTCCTTTCCTGTCCTGGGGCCGGCGGCAAGCGTTTACAATTAGCCTGCGTGTTGCCACAGGATCCCCAAAAGGGACCGATTGCACGACGCCTCTCAAGCCCTGAAGCCTAACAACGCCTTCACACCTGCGGGTTATCACCGCTGGGCAGGCCCATGCTGAGCGTCGCGTAGCACTACAGATATTACAGTTAGTAGCCAGGCGGAATCTGCAATTTCCGCGAAGAAGATGCTGACAATGCGAACGAGTTGAAGCTTCTTTTCTCAGTCAGAAAAGGAGGTGAGGGGTGCAGGGGTGCGCCTAATGCTGTATTGGATAAGCCGCATGCTTCCTTATTTTGCTTGGCCTCTAGAGCACGCCGCTGCTCAGGCGGGAGGGAAGACGAAGAGACGAGTGCGACGCACTTGCGGAAGGAGTCGACATCCATCGCAGGAGTCAGACAATGACATTATGGTTTCATGACGAGTCATGGGTGCACTGACTTCTCAATCTGTCCAAATCCACCTGGTTGTATCAGAATCGACGCTTGAAGTCTCTCTGCATATGTTGGTACGGCTTCCCGGAATTCCGGGTTGAGCTCATCACAAAAGACTGAGCATGGAGGTACTGGAGCTTGAGACAAAGCAAAGATCGGACGCATGGCCAAAACTCTGAATTCCTCAGCACTTGAACGCACAGGCCGATCGAGAAGCTGGGCGGACAGCAGCTCGGAGTGCCTTTGAAACATCTTCGCCAACCTCAGCCACAAACTGCCACAAACCGGGCACTTTAGAAGCGGGTGCAACGGACGATGTCGTGACGAGGATTTCTGTGGCCGGGCCTTCACGGGGTCATCGCCGGCATTGGCAGCATGCCGAGCGATGCATCCCGCCAATTCCTCCTCAGGCGGCCGTGGCTAATGGGAGGCAGACTCGATCGCAGTAGAGCCCGAAGAGCCAACATCCATATGCCTATCCTGAAGCTCGAGCTGAGCCTGTGGGAGGGCACCTGGCATGTTTCCAAACTGTGCATCTCCCCCGGAACCAAAGTACAAGAAGCTCGCCTGCTGCATCTGCCACAGCCTCGAAGGAAGCTTGGACACTCGAGAACTCTAGAGAACGTCCCCCTCACCCCAAAAGCCCCAAAAGCCCCCCCCTCTCCTCGACCTTCTTTCGCCTGACAGATCACGATGGTGCCCGCCTTCAGATCAATCCCCATGGAGGCTGCAGTCTGCCCGCTGAGGACATCCTCCCATGTCTTGCAACAGTAAAGAAAGAAGTGTGCGCGCCCCCCACCCTGCTCAGACTACACTGTGACCGCCTGAAACATCACAGCTCGAGCAGCGAATTCAGCTGCAAGCTTTGCAGCGGCTGCTTGGTGAACACCATGAGCAATCGCAGCCTTGAGAAACTTGAGAAGCTCTTCAGCTGCTGCAAGGAAACGTGTGCCAACGGAACCCTTGCTCTCCAGTTCTTTGTCGCAATCCCCCTTGCGTCCAAGCGGTGAAACTGGGCATTTGAGCAGGTCTCCCTGCACATCAGAAAACCTCCAGCTCGCCGTGCCCACAGTGATCACAGTGATCACAATCCTGTCTACGTCGCTTGAGTGGAGCGACAGTCACTTCCAAAGTGCTCGTGCTGCTTAAGCCACGTCCCAGCACGGGAATCTGGGAAGAGCTGCAGTCTTCGAGCTTTGTGCCATTGCGGATGCATCTCACATAATCTCCGTTTGCATCTGCGTCAGTTGTCATCTGGCGCTCGCAGATGGATTTGGCGACCTCAAGTTTCTTCAACTTGTCTTCCCTTGCTTTGTCTGCTTCCTCTTTCTCCTCAGAGCCTGGCTGGGAATCCAGCTGAGAAGCTTTCAAAGCTCGAGCAATCTTCTGACTGGCTTTCTTCTGCTGAGTCTTCAACAGCTCGACCATTCGGTCATCTGCTCCACCACTATTCATGCGAGGGACGGTCTTCTCGGCATATGCAATGTCTTTGTGCAGTCGGCAGTAGATGTCGCGCTGCCGGAGATCACGTGGGTTTCGGCAACCCTGTTTCTTGCAACACCCGAGCGCTGGACAGTCACCCAGCTTCTCGATTTGTAATGCTGCCTCAACTCTCATCACCGTCTCCTGCCGGCTGCCTGGGTGATTGCTTTCAACCTCAACCAAGATCGGTTTCAGAATGGCGAAAATTGCCCCCCTGCGGGCCATGGCTGCAGGTGCACCCTTTCGCCAATGCAAATATGCTCCCCAACGCAGCTGCAGCACAATTTGCCGAGGTTGCCGTGAGAGGTCCGTCAGCCGCCACCGCAGATACTGCTCCCCGTTCGCCATCTTGTCCCTGGCAGAGTTGTAGTACAGAACCCCAATGATGATGTTGTCCTTTGCTTTCATCGTCCTGTCAGAACCGCAATAAAGGGGAATGTGCGAGAATGAAACATACCGTCTATTTGGCTTCTGAACTTCACTCGCCCATTTCTCAGCCGGAACTGTTCTGTTGACAATGGGCAGCCCGGAGAACTGCTCAACGTCACTTGTGCCCTTTTGCTTCTTTGCATCCTGTGGCTGCTCTGCATCCTGTGGTTGCTCTGCATCCTGTGGTTGTACATCTCGGGCCGGCTCGTGTGCAGCTTCCTCACAAGCTGGCATCTGCGGCTCAGAGGGCCCAGCATCTACGTCGGGCGCCCGGGCTCCGAGAATGGACTCGTCTTCTCCCATGGCACTGTGCTGAGGGCGCGCAACCTTGAGCCAAATGCCCTTTGCGACTTGATGCATCTGTGCCTGCCAGCCCTCTAGTAGCCTTGTACAGTGCATAGGGCAGGATTACAGAAAGCACAACGTCACGTCAGATCCATCCGTTTGCTGGCCAAAGGGCATGTCTAGCTGCGTGTACCGCATCTTCAGGAGATGCTCGAGCTCTTGCTGCATCAAGCGACGTTCGGCCTGGTGTGCGCACGGAAAAGTAGTCCACTGTTCTTCCGTTATGCAACCGAAAAAAAGGACATGCAAGTCATGCAAGCAGGATGCCTTTAGCTGCTGCTTTTGCCGTGGCCGCGCGAGCCTTCGCGGCTCGCACGAATGTAGAGTAGCCCTGCCGAAGGCATGCTGACAATCAACGCAAACTCCCGGAGAAATCGCCACACACTTACTTTTCTGTCAGGCGCAGCCTGTGGCATATGCGAGTGAAACATCCAATGGTCCAGAGCGGCATATAATCACTCCGCTAGCCGCTAGCCTTCAGAGGGCGACCTCAGGTCTTTAGCATCAATGGCCATATGGTTTGCAGAGCCCCCGTGCAAAAGCACGAATTCTCTTGTGCTCATGCCAAACTTCAACACATCCTTCTCCTTCAACTCATAGTATCGTGATGCCTCTATCCGCTTTCCGTTCACAAACGTGCCATTCACGCTCTCTAGGTCCATTATGTATGGCTTTACCAAGCCACTCTTTGCTTGTCTATAATGAAGAACTGCATGTTGTTTGCTGCACGTGGGGTGATCCGTTGGCACCTCCACAACGCGCCGGTCCTTGCCGAAGAGGTAGCCAACCTCCTTGTGGATTGGAATGATTTTGGGTGCCTCGTTGGCTTTTGTGAAAACATAGAGGCGCCACTTCGTCGCAGGCAGTTTGACCTCTGCCGGCACTGTGAACTTCAACGGTATCCCATTCTTGGCATTGTCCTCCAACGCCAGCAGGCCGGAAGGCTCAAAATTGGGTTGTTCTTTGGGCTGCTCATTGCCGTCATCCTTCCCTTTGCCCTTCCCCTTGCCTTTGGGGCCATCCGAGCCTTTACCGGAAAAGCCGAAGCCCGAATCCGGATCGCGGCTTTTGCTGGGCTCCAGCATGCGAGACGGCAGCACATCATCCTCTCTGCGCTGAGAGGGTTTGGAAGGCGGAGCTTGTCTCTTGAGTTGCTCGCCCTCAGACTCATGGTCGAGCTCCTTGACCTTCCTAGCCTTGTCTGACTTGCCCAGGGCCCCAGGCTGCGCGTCCACGTGTTTGCTCTTCTTGTGCTTGGATGGCCTTTCGACTGCCAAGTCACTATCGGAGCCTGCATCGGCCTGCTTGCTCTTTTTCTTCTGCTTTGACGGCCTCTGCACAGTCAGGTCAGCATGGGGGTCCACATCGGCGTGCTTGCTCTTCTTGTGCTTGGATGGCCTTTCGACTGCCAAATCGCTGTCGGAGCCAGCATCAGCATGCTTGCCCCTCCGATGCTTGGACGGCCTTTCAACTGGCAAGTCGCTGTCAGAGCCTCCGTTGGCCGGTTTGCCCTTGTGCTTGGGCGGCCGCTGCACTGCCAAGTCACTGTCAGAGCCAGGATCGGCTTTGCTCTCTTTGCTCTCCTTCTTGGGAGGCCGCTGTACCGCCAAGTCGCTGTCAGAGCCCGCATCCACCTTGACTTGCGTACGCTTCGGTGGCCTCTGGACAGCCAAGTCGCTGTCATCGGAGGCGCTGCCCATGGCAGGCAGCCTACGCTGTGGCGACCTACATTGACACCATCTATCTACCAGCAGCCAGCCATCTGAACAAAGAGGGCAGCGTGTCCTTGACATTACATCTGCATTCTGGGAAGACCGGCATCATGAAGCTCCTGCTTCTGTCCGACACAAAGCACCGAAAGAAACCCGGGATTTGCTCCATGCTTCAACCAATGGGATTCAATAGGTGTTAATAGCCACACTTCAAAACCAAGAACTCTGTCGTGACAAATTTTGTGGGACAGCATGACACACAAAACATCGGGCACGGGCAATGAAGTGGCAGGGTGCAGCTGCACTGCCTCGGACTTGTGTGGCCGCAAGGCCAGCTGCGACAAAGCCTTTCCAATGCACAAAGATGTCAAGGCCCAAGCGCCAGCTGAGACATCTTGGCTGATTAAGCTGCCTATCGACGCCTATCGACCCCTCAGCTCTTGTCCAACACTCTGCAGTCCTGCCCTTGGCCCCCCCTTGGCTTCAAAAGCTTCAAGTGCCCCAAACGGCACCTCGGCGGCTCGGCGACCACCTGCACAATGCCGCCGATGCCCAAACTACATGCTGAGTATGCGAGCAAGCCATCCGTATTGGGTTAGATAAGACAATTTTTTCCACCGAGCCTCAACTCCAGGCTACCGGCCTCCTCTAACCGAGCCTGCCTCAGCCCTTCGGCACATTCCGGCGCATGTCAATCGCAGATCCCATGCACCAAGCTTCACGGGGGAGACAAACCGCCACCTTGGAAGAAGTCGATGTGTGTGTTAGGATGGAGCCAGTCCTCACAAGACGCCCACGTCCCCTCGGCCCTAGCGGCTATCCGCACCCCATCAATCATAGATGTCGACGCTGGGTATGATTACGGCCCTGTGGGACACAGACCCCTGGCAACATTAGAGGGGTTCTTTGGATTGGTCGTCTCCTCGATGCGTTCCAGTCCAACGGCAGAAGAAGCATCCTCGGGCATTGTCGCTCCACAAAATGACAGAAAGGTTGAGAAGTCTTAGAGGACCATTGCGCAGCATGCGCAGCTTGCGCAGCTGGAGGCCCGGCCGCCACCCCACTGGCCTTGGCAGTCAAAAACTCTGCTCGCTTGCTGCTTGCTGCAATTTCCAGTTTCGAGGATGCCGCAGCTGCACGCTTGGCTTCGATGACCGACTCCTGCTTACGCGGGACCGTTTCAGGACTCCGCGGGTGCGCGTTGTCGGCCCAGAGCTAACGGTTTTGCTTCGGCTTTGACACGTTTGGGCTGGAAAGCATCCGTCTGAGAACTGTCCAACATGGCCGTTGCCCATCTACCACTCTCAGGGTTCAGGTCGTGTTCAGGTTCGTCAGGATTTGGGTTCCAGCACTCCCTTTTGGTCTTCAAGGCTTTAGGTTTAGGGTTCAGGGTTTCTCACCAATTGGGGTTTCAGGGCTTTTCTGCTCCATCTTTTGGGTTCAGGACTTGCCACCCAGGGTGTCCTTTTGCCGTTTTCGGCTTCACGTGTTTACCGCAAGCAGCAGAAAACACAGCATCCGCAGGACCACGCAAGTAGCACACCCTGGACCACTTGCATTGGCCAAAGCTGGCCGAAGAGAAAGGGAAATGCGGAGGAGAGAGACCCACAGCGCACCCTCGACCACGAAAAACCGCGCACCCTCGAGCCCTTTTCGCCATTCAGGACGCCGTGCGGCTCAGAACCGGACTTATCGTAAAGCTGTCTTGATGAATCTATGCCAAGTAAGTGCAGACTCAGCAAAATCCATGTGTCAGAAGTGTCAGTAGCTGATGCCCATAAAAAACCATATTACTACACTTGTGGGTGTGACTTCCCTCTCTCCATTGCGTCTCCTCAGACTCTTCGGCAAGGATGAGCACTTGCTCGACAGCCTTCCAGGGACCAGTTTCGAGCGTCCACTTGATGACTCCACTTTTTTTGCTACGCACAGAGGACTGGAGCCTTCTGGGCTGCATCACGTGCGTAGCTGACCTTACCAGATGCCCCGTGCTTGGTTCTGTTTGATGGTGCGAGCATGCGCGAACCGTGCACCTGCTCATCTTCAGCAAGATCTGCCAGCTGCGACGTGGCCCGTTTTGCAGCGATGCCTGTCAAACTCACACAGTGAAAAAACGCAAGATTTTCACACAACACCCCAGGGTGGGCAACTGTGCCAGGCTGACCCACATTGGCGGGCAATTCACCTGTGAGGCACAGCGAGACGTCCATTGCATAAAGCAATCTGCCTCTCGTTGCGCCTTGTAGCGCGACTGCAAAGGCTGCCTCGGTGAAAATTCAGAGAAGACAAACCCCAGCATGCACCGGTAACGTTTCTTAACGATCAGCTGTCGCCCCTCCAGCAGACTCCAGGAGACTCCAGCACTGAATCGGAGATACTCCGTGTCTTTCGCGACTTTCATGTTTTTCCGAGTGGCCGGCAGCCTGAGCGGCCTCCTTTGCAGCCGCCTTTGCAGCCACATGCCTGGACCTCAGCTCGTCGGTTCAGCGGAGTGTGCAGCTCGTTGTTAAGTTACATGATCCTTGCGCCGGTTCCGCACACTTTTGTGCCACAAAGGTCCGATTGTTGCAGCGCGGCTCTCTTCAGACGCTTGGCATGCGGCACTCCAGTAGCTCGTGCCGCTCGAAAGGCTTTCAATGCAACCCACGGACCGGCCTGGTGGCGTAGGAAATATACTTTCTTCTGCCAACAACACTGTAATTCGAGAGATGTGTGGTGCCAGTCATTGCAAGCCTGCATCCGCTGTGTTGCAAGAAGCGCTCCAGTACCAAGCGGAATTCTGAACTTCTCAATGACTGTTTGCCAGGCGAAGGTTGTTTTTTGAGACTTTCGGCATGCAGCGTACAGGCTGCTCACTAGTTCAAGCAACCAGCTGCAGAAACCAGAGAAGACCCAGTGCAACCTGTAGATGACATAGATGTCCCGCTCTGGATGCTAGGAGCTCGGCCTCCTGTCCAGCTGCAGACTGCGCTACTGCGCGCCTGAGTATATCACTGATATCACTGAGGTTGCTGGCATGTACAGTGGAACGACTGCATAAGAAACTAAAGCAGAAGAGGCGATTTGGGGATACCCTTCTAGCTGCGGCGAAACTTAAGGTGCCCCGGTGAAAGGTGGGTCAGTTTCATAGTCATAGAATTCTTCAAGGGGAATCTGGCATGGTTTCCGGCTTACTTCTTGACCCCACCCTCTGTGTGCCCTAAAAGCATAGTCCGGAAGAATGGACACAAGCCACCCACAAGCCGGAGTGAATGGTGGGTGGGTGTATGCACTGGTACACACTTGCTCAACTTCAGGGCCTGAATCCTCCAAACAAGGGAGACAGCTTGTGTATGCATGTGGGGATTTAGCCAAGTGGTACAGCGATCGACTAAGAAACTCAGCATGCAATGGAAGTCAAGACACTTGCTGCTAAAAGTGGCCAACAGGTGCCCAAGAATCCTCTGGAGAATCGCATGAGTCGTGGACGCAGCAGCGGAAGCCCCAATTGCACCCTGCATCAAACTCAGTTTCGGATTTTCAAGGCTTTTGCTGCTGCATGCATGTGTAAACAGATACAGAATGATATGCATGCAACGCTCTGGCTGCAGCAGGCTTCCAAACGTCCCAAACATGCCATCAGCGGAGAAGGCTCTGTGAGAGTTGGCCACAGGCAAGGCGAAGAAGCTGCGTACATTCTCTTTGCAGATACGAAGTTGAAGGCAAAGCTTCAAAAATGAGGGCCAAAATCCTCAAGCATGTGCTGCCACGAACTCAAATCCCATGCACGAACTTGCCCATGAAGAGGGATTGGAACGCAAGCAGGACGAGGAGGCAGTGAAGCGTGCGGGCCAATACCGGCCAGCTATGGGTCCAAAGATGCTAGCAGAGTAGAGCAGAGCAGTACGCTGCCTACTAGGCACACTTCCAGTTGCAAATGCTGGCCTGGGCCGCACAGGAGGAGCCGACCTGAAGGAACAATGTTAAGTCTGCTTCGATCCATCCTGTGTCGAGTCAATGGGCCAGCAGTTTTTGTGCTAGAGCGCCATACCATGCAGCAAGTCCACTGCCCCTACATGCATACAAACTCTGCGGCCATGACCTCCCCAGCAATCTGCCTCATGAACGTATGAACTTGGCATAAACCGTGCCGGCCTGCTCAGGCGAGGCCCCTCGTTTCACCGCCTGGTCCGCGGCATACCGCCTCGCTTGAATTATGCTTTGCTATGAGGAAACCCCTTGCAAGACAAGGCAAGGGCCCACGCACAGTGCGTGGAGGACTTAGAGGCGTGATATCCAATTGCACTCAAATGGCGCGGCATCCTCAGAGCTCCGGCAGGGGAGGCGCACTTCAACCTCGGCTTGGCATACGGATTCCTTCCAAAGGGGCCTGTGCACGCTCATAAGGAAGCTTCTCAACATGCAGCAGCAATGTCCACAAAGATGCAGCGGCCACTGGCGACGACTTTTGTCATGCAGGCGTGCTGTGTGGCCGTTACTCGCGCCAGCGATCCAACGTGACCACCCTGGAGTCGGCGCTGGTGTCGCAAGTCAAGAAGCCAATTAGGCACAACAGGATCAGATCATCCGGGGCTCGGACGTGTGACCTGCCTCCAAGGCGCTAGCTCTGTAGCCGTGTCCTGGTGACCCGACCCCTATGGCGGCACGCTAGCTGTAGCTTTGCGAAGTACATGCCCATGCGTTTAGAGAGAAAGGTGTCCTTTGAAGAGCAGCGAAAAAATGCTTTGATCCGCTTGGTGTGTCATGAAGCTTGGCACCTGCGAGCGTAGGTATGGTTTCGCTTCTTTGTCAGGAACCTGCTCAGTCTGAATGTACGTGAAGGCCTCGTCATCCACTATGTCGCTGGTCAAGGTGCCGGTTTCTGCCACGACAGTCCATCATGCTCGGATCATGCATGTTACATTTTCTTGAAAGTACTCTGCACCTCCTCCCTGGTGGAAGTTGCGCACGGCCAGGCCAAGAAGTGTATCTGGATCCTTTGACTTTGGCCGTTTGCTTTCGCCAATGTGTGTGCGCATGCAACAGAAAGTTACCGAACCTCCGACAGCTTCAGCCACTTCTCAACAAAAGCCACGACTGCCTGCTAACCAGATCACTGCCATTCACTGCCTAATGCCATTCCAGACTATCCTCTCCGAATTCGCTGTAATGCAGTACTGTGCCTTGGTCTTTCTGAAGGCCAAGAAGTATGCGCCGAGCTGGGGCCGATCCGTCAGTGCATACCTGTCTCGGGATGTCGCGGGCTTTTCGCAGGCTTTTCGCGTAAAAATCTTTGTGACACATCTCGATTGGTGTCACTCTCCACGCCTGGAGGTCATGTTCCTGGCAACCACGTACATGATGGCTCAGTGGAGGGATGCAACTGTGCAGAGTAGAATCTGCTTCGGGCCCAGGTACTCAACATTGTCCAAGGATCATTTGCTCTAGCGTCAGCTTGCTGGTCCAGTCCACTTCCAGGCACTGCTTGAGGCGCAGAGCCACAACGTCGGACTCCTGCGAAGATGAGAGGACTGAGAGGAAGGAGACCGGGGAAGCAGAGGAGCGCGTGTCGAGCAGTTAGACAGTTAGACGGCTCCTCCAAGGCTGCGGCCAGGAAAGGTCTTGGATTTGCATGCCTCGAGCCGAGTCGATATGTGACACCGTATATCTTCACATGACTCCTCCTCGCAACATGACAACAAGACTGCTGGACTGCACGCAGCCGTGGTGCAAATAGTTTCCAGCATCGATCCACAGCACCACGCCTCTCTCCCAAGGAATTGCCGGGTCCTGCCCAGGTTGCTTCTCCAAACACTGCCTGAAAGCAACTACCGAGCAGCCACCACTGCAGGAGCTCGATTGGCCGAGATGGGACATGGGGTCCAAAATTGGGTTGTCCTTGAGCGTCTTCAGGATGACGTAGGGCTTCCAAAGCCACCATCCAGCTCCCCTCTTCTGCGACAAGACTTTGTCGTTTGCAGATAGCCAATCAGGACCCAGGTGTTGCTTCCCATATGACCTGGCTTGGTCCACGCCATGTTTGAGTGCCTGATCTCTATTCCGTTTCAGCGACTTTCGACAGCAGCCATGGGCGTAGCTGATGGCCGCCAAGTACAGGGGCTCTTTCTTCAGTAAGACAGACACAAGAGGTGCTGACACGGGTTCACGCCAATAGCTCTGCAGTACCTGCGTGGCCTTGGAACCCAAGGCTTGGGCATTCACTTTCTTCGCCTCCTTCGTCTCGTTGTAGAAGGCATGAAACAATTCCTCTGGAGATTCTGCAGTCCCCCAGAAGTGAAAAAGCACCAGGTCCTTCTCCAGACCCAACCAGCCATCTCCACTTGCGAAGCCGCTGCTTATGAAGGTCCAGTTACTTTTGGCCGGGGCCAGGCCTACAGGCGGAAGAAAGGTGTGCGTGGGGCCTTCAACCTCAGGCCCTGTCGTGTTCCTGCCTTTGTAATCGAAGAGGCCAGCGAAGTCACCCTTGTTGTTGGTCAAAAACTGGTCCCATGCTTTGTGGTCCAGGAGGTACGGATTCTCTCGAAGCCAGCTTGCAAACCCCATTAGCAGTGAAACTGCTTCAGGATTCGGCCGCGCGATCACAACTGCAGGAGTCACAGACTCCGAAAGTATGTGCCGCGAAAAGAAAAGGCTAGCTGATGGCTGTTTTGCTAGCTCAGCCTCCACCAGGAAAGTCGGATCAGAAACAACATATACATCCAAGTCAAGCCATACGGCGCGCACGCCCGACCTCGCTGTGGAGGCCATGGCGAGGTACTTTGCAACCATGGTCTCAACGCCCAGACGCTGAGGCGCATCGATGCACTGAACCATTGGCCGGTCGTTAAACTTCTGCGAAGTCTTGCAGTTTCTTAATGCTAAAAGATCTCGGCAGAGCACTGTCAGTGGAGATGTCTTAGACACTGCCCACCAGCGCTTCAACACCACGTCCTTATGCCACGATTGGATTGCCAGAAGGCGTTGTCTAAAATGTAAAACCCCCAGTAGGAACAGACTCCGTCGAAACACTAGACCAAAAATAGACATCCTGCCAAGCAGCCAAAAACTTCGACATCCACCCCCAAGCGGATGTCAGAAACGAGATTTGTGCAGTATGCCTTTCCGCTATGGCTCGAACAGCTGTCTCCACTTTCGCCACAAGTGCGGCCGCGGCATCCTTCACAGCTGCATGTTCGGTATCCCGGCTGCTCTTCCAAACTTCATGTGGATGAGCGCGCTGTAACAAGCTGGCGAAGTGCAAGAGCCGAAAAACGGGCCAGTCTGTCTTGGCGGCCTGTTGCACGGGCCCATAAATATTTACCAGCTGTGCGACGCTGGCCACCTGCTTATGCAGCCGACCTTCTATGTCGCGAAGGAGTACCACGAATATCTGGAGTATATAGCAGGAGATCACCCCCAAATGGCAGCCAGCTTTGTAGTGGTGTTGCCGATATGCGTCGAAGACGTCGTGCGAGAAATACACAACTTCCTACTAAGCCGATGCGTTTTGTTTCTGAAGGTTCAAGTCTTCTCAACTACTATCGTGTGCAAGAAAAATCGTTCCAGAGCCGGGGCAGGACCTTCATCGCCGGCAAAGAATGGATCCGCAGCCAGCGCGCCGAGTACTGCTTGGATAGCGGGCCGTCCGATGGCCTTTTTCAGCACCAGCATGCGGGCGGCTGCATGCGGCTACACCCCGAACCAAGAACTTCCCCTCCGAGTCTCCGAGTGCCTCAAGTCGAACACAGACTCGTCGGACACCAGCTCATCGACCTTGGGCGTCTGCTGCGAAGACCCGATTGCACACACCATGAGAAGTCAATTACAGTTAATCAGAGGGGGGGGAGGAGAACAGGAGATACACTTACCGAGAACATTCAAGACATCACTACGTCCAGCATTCAATTCCCAAAGCTAGGCTATCCGACTAGCTTTCCTGCGCAGTGTCTGCTCAACTTGTGTAGGCACAGAGCAGGTCTAAGTCTTGACCCTATCTCCTTGCTGCGAAACTAGCTTGTGATTTGTCATCTATTCAAAATCGCGTGCCCTTCCGTCCCTGAATGCCTCCATTTCTTGGGCATATTGCGTGCTCGTCGAAAGGACGCAAACTGAGCCCTTCACAGCTTCGGACAGCAGCTTCTTGAACTGCGGCCAGTCAAAGACGTCTGGATCACCTGAGGAGAGCGCAGCATGTTTCCTAGGATGTTTCCGGTTCACCTACCCTAAGCTTCATCCGGCTGCCAAGCGAACTCAGCCAAGCCAAGCTTCTGTTCCAATTGATGTTCTTCCTGCAGGCACCCAAGCCTTAGATTCTCGAAATGGCCTTCTGGCTTGCGTAGCCACACTCCTACGTGTTCAATTTGCAGCTGTACAGGAAGGTCTCAAATGTTGGAAGTGCACTGCATTACTGCATGGATGAGTTGAGGCGCGGGTGCTGCCCTTCCTCAGCTGCAGGACACACTCAGTGGTGCTGAACACTGGACAATTCCGGACAATTGGACCAGGCCCGTCTCACAAGTTGCAGCCGCGATAGAACGTAAGGCTGTGCCAAGCGTCTCTGGAATGAGTCGGGCCAGGAGGTCCAACATTCGGAAGGCCGGCCAGGGGCTTCGCAGCACAAGGTGGAACCGCGTCGTGTGCTTCGTCTCGTAGCTCAGCACCTGCGCTGGGTGTTGCGTGTCAGCGCCCTTGTCCGGGTTTCTACTGTGAGGGTATATTTCCCCACCTTCGGTGTGGGGTTGCTCGATTTTAAACTCAACTCGTCTCCTCGCCCGGTCTACTCCAAGAGACTCCCTAACCCCAAAAACTCCCTGGAGTGCCCAACCCAGAGACTCCTCCAGAGTCTCCCTGGAGTGCCCAACCCCAGAGTCTCCCCTGAAGTGCCCAACCGCAGAGACTCCCAGAAGTGCCCAACCCCAATGCAAATCCCTAAGGTGGGGGATGTTCACAGTAGAATAATTTCTTTTGCTGGCTGCGCCTCGCCTTATGCCGTTTGCCTTCGCGACTTTCTTGTAATCATGCTGCGCCTTGCGTTCTTGTTTTGCCTTTCCTGCCCCCGTAATGCTGAGGGTGCCGTTTTGTTGTGCTGGATGCTGAAGGTTCTTCTTTTGTGCTGCCCAGTTGGTTTGCCTTGATCCCCAGAACAACCAACCTCCAGGGCTTTGGGGCTCCAGGGTCTGAGGGTTTATGGCAAAACGATAAGCTATAGGGTTTAAGGTTTAGTGGGGAAATCGCTTAGGGTAGGCTTGTGTTTGAGTTGTATGCACGTCTGGCTTCAGGGTAGGCTTGTCTTTGGAGGACGACCCCAAGCCAAAAACAACTGGACTCCAGGCCTTGGATCCCCTCATTTGGCAACAAAACTTTAGTGCTTTGTTAGGTTCAAAGGATGCTTGCGGCCGTGGCTGGGCTCCTGCGAAGCTTTGGATTGGCGTTGCCATATAGAGCACCCCGTTCCAATCATCTTGCTCAGTGCTTGTTGGGTTACAGAGTCTGGCTCGTGAAGCGAAAACAGAACACGCTTATGCAAAACAGGTCTTGGTTGGGTTGGCGGAGGCCGGGCACCTCACTTGCAACCACCTTGTCAGGGGGGCAGGGGGATAGGGGACTGGGAGCATAAGAGAAAAACAGCATGATGAAATCCATCTTGAGAGTAGCCACAGAAACGCTAGCATGACAGTTGCACTTTGGCATTTGGAGCATAAGAAAACGAGAGAATAAGAAAAACAAACATGGAGCACAAGAAGTCAAACAATCCTCGTGGATTCAGCCCCCCTTATCTAGTCACCCTCTGTTACATGCACGGGCTTCTGAGTCAAACAAGTCTTGTTTGAATCTGAGCGGCTGTCATCTGTCCCAGCAGATCCTCATCCAAAGAGCCAGCGCACCTGCACCGAACACTTTCAAGGCAGGTTTCCACATTTTCCCGAGAATGCAGGGTTCTTTCTTCTGAGAAAAGTGCGTGTGGGCAGTGTTTCCTCCACGTGGCACAGAATTTCAACAATGGAGTCAGGGCAGGCGCTGCTTCTTCGCTCCTCCCCTTTCCCCCTGAATTGCGCTGTGGACGCCGTAGTCACTGAGCTCCGTGCTCCAGCGCTTGCTCTGCATCTGCTCCCCTGAGAAGCCTTGTCTCTGAAAGATCAGCTCTGGCAGCCCGGTCTGACTGCGCGCATGTGTTCAACTGATTAAGCACGTAGGGCTTCACTCATCACAAACTATAACAATAGCAGGTCCAAGATGCAAGATACAATTGGTGGCCAGCCTGCAGTTGTGGCAGTTGTGCAAACATCCTGGCGCAAGCACCTGCTGCTGCCCATCTCGCGACCTGCAGAAGCGAGGTGCACGAGCTAGGGTTCCGACCACGCCAGCTTGCCAGGCTCACAATACGGCCTCGGGGAAGCTTGGCCCGCACATGCAACGAACATCATCGTCGCGAATGCAGGAACGCTGTGGACGCTCTGCAATCTCTACATGAGGCCTGGCATGTCTTCGAACAAAGACAAAGTGCGAGAGCGGGCGAGTGTAGGATGGGCACAAGCAGTCGAATGCCCCGAGCCTTGCCAGAACGGCTGGGGCCAGGCCCTGCATGACTTCGACGCGGCCATCAGCCGACCACTCTTCGAAGGCCGCCCACGCTTTCTCCTGCAGCCGTTTGCATTGGCAACATCTGACTGCTGGAGCCTTCTTCAGACCCTGAAACAAACAACAACCCCTCGAAATCGCATCTTGGCAACTCTTCGTTTCGTATCCGTTCCCTGAATCGGCCAAACCCTACAGTCCCCACCCGAGTACAGTTCGGCCCAACACCAAGGAAGCAAGGGAGAGAAAGGCAGAGGAAGAAGTTGAGGCTTGAAGTTCCGAAGGGGGCATCTGAATTATTCGGGGCATCCGGGCTTGTTCGCACTTCCGGGTGAGTCGACACCGGGCCGGGGAAGGTAAAGGATCTGTTGAATGGTCGCCAATACCTGGTATACATTGCAGCCATAAGGGAACATCGAGGGGACGGTATGTTCGAAGTTCCTCTGCGGACTGCTTGTTTCGGACAGCTTTTTTCTGCTTGGAACTCGCGAAGCTTCAGCAGCAGTTTTGGCAGCTGCCGCCATCACTGGGAATAATGCGCTTTCGCGTCTTGTAGCCATTGGAACACGCGCGTGGCCAGCTGCTGCTCTGCCTGGCAGACGCACTTGTTCCAAAAAGGGGCCCCCCAGAAGACCGCAAGTCCATTTGCAAAGAAAAACCAGGTGCATTCTTTTCCGTGTACTGACCTCGGTGCGCTTGTCGGGGTGCCATTCTCGAAACCTGATTCGGAATCCAGCCCCTCTGGCCGTAACTACGATTAGTACACGAGACCGACGAGATTTGTGGATCACAGCAAGCCTGTAAACAGCAAGCCACTTCTCACTGCTCGTCACTACAAAGCACGCACGAGGCCAAAGTTTGCGGGGGGAAGCCAAAGGGTCAGCCAGGTTGCATTTGTCGTAGCAACCTTTGTGCCTCATTTCCATCTCCTGCAGAGTCTAGGCGCGAGCGCAGGCCGCGCACCTCCGCCAAATTCCCCATGATTCAACATGCCGTAACATGCCGCATCAGCAACTGGTGGAAAATCTTGTGTTGCCATGTGCTGGCACGTAGCCTCCAGAGGTGAAAGTCGACTCTCCAATTCAGCTGAGGGGCCGCCTCCGCGGCCTCGTCCATCGGCACCCCTGGCACACCTTTGCAGAAGAACAAGATGCGAAAGTGCATATGGCAGCGGGAGCCAGTCCACTGACATGAGCCTGCTGTGCTTGTACTCAGGCTACTCAGGATGAGGCCTTCTTTTAGACACGATTGCCCCAAAGCGAGAGCTTCGGGCGGCTCATGGTGAAGAGGGTGGAACAGCACAGGTCTACAGTCGACCCCAAACCAACCTCCAACCACCCTCCATAGCAGTAAAACAATTAAAAAAGTGGTCGATGACAGGCAAATCCGAATCAAGCTTCAGAAGGTCATTTTTGCCGGCAAGTTTGGCGCCCCCCCCAACCTTGCCTGCCAATGCCTTGCTGCCTGCCATCGGTGTCGCACCCGCACCTGGAGGTTTGCTTCCGAGCAGCCCAAACCGTGGTCATCGAACCAAAGCCAACTTGCTGCAGAAGTGTCAGCAACATTTCAGTGCAAATTTGATGTCGCTCTGCCTCCTCCGTACCCGCAAGGGCTGGGCGTAGAGTTTTTTTGTCGTGGCGGATATGCCGTTGCTGACACGGCTGACACCCATCTCCACGCAACAAGGCCATCTGGGACCGGTCCTCGCGAGAACACAACCGCACAGAGATGCCACGCTGCGGCTGCACGCGGTCACGCGGACTCGCAGACCATCCGGCTTTGAAAACAAGAGGCCTCTCTGTTGGACTTGTAGTTTGATGGTTGCCTTGGATGTGACGCCAGACGCGTGCTGAATTGACGAGGGAACAAAACAATGAACACGAAGAAAAGACGCACCTCTGCAACTGAGGCTTAGGCCAACCGACCCCATTGATTCAGCTCCCAAAGTACACGCTGTTCGGGCATCTCTTCCTTAGAAATGAAGCACAAGGCTTACCGTCCTCCAATGTGGTTTGGTGACGTCCGGGGACCCGTTTAGGTGCCGAGAGGCCATTTGCACCAGCATCGAAGCAAGCGGATTTCCTGTCAGGCGGCAAACGTTTGACAGCGGTGGAGAGTGGGCAGCCCAGCACCCACACGCTGCGACGAAGACAAGAAGACACTCAAGAACCAACGGGTGCCAGAAAGGGATTCAGGGATGACCTTCGCAATGAAGCTCTGTCAGCTGCCGCAGCTGCTTGAAACTCGTCGGCAAGCCCATCAGCTCGTTGCTGGCCAAGCCTCTCTGTTTCTGTAACGCACGCCCCGACGAAAAAAAAAAAACAGCGACGAAATCAAGCCCAGCCGACTTGGATGCCGCCATGCTTCTTAGCCACTTCAAAGCTGGTAGGCTTCCTGAAGTCAGCAGCAGCAGCAGCAGCAGCAGCAGCAGCAGCAGCAGCGAGAAACAATCGGAAACAACCCCCCGCAGTCTGTAAACTTCGATTCATGCAGTCCATGCAACAGAGCGGATACGGGACTCGTTCACCTATTGACTAGGCCGCAGCAGACAGCCCGGACTGCAAGCCAAGACTCCAAAATCTCTTGGAAGTGACAGCAGCCGATTCATCGCAAAGTCTGCATGAATTAGAGACAGAAGTCCGCCCAATCCATCCTGGGTACGCGAGATTGGACCAAAAGAACCCAACCGACCCAAAACCTCGAATTATGCTTCAAGCTGGCTCACAACCACGTTGAGTCAAGAGTAGCAGGCAGCATGGTGAGGCAGTTCTTGCTCAAGTCCAGCTTGCGCAGACTTCTCAGGCAGGCGAAGCCTGGCGGGAGTTCCTGCAGCTTGTTGCTGGATGCATCCAACCTCGGAGGCTGCACACGACAAAAAAGCGTGCACCCAAGGCTGAATTACAGAGGGGTCAAAAGAACACAATATGTGAGCAAAAAGGAGCTTTCACAAAAGCACGGGCACTGCTGCAAGCAGTGCAGGCCGCCGATCTCTGGAAGCTTCGTCAGCCTCGAAAAAGAGATGGTTTTTGAGGAGGAGCAACGTAGTACATAGCTCTGCACCGCAGTTTTACTTACAGTCTTACAGTTCTTTTCGTACAGCAATCTTTACATTCATTCACGGCCCAGATGCTCGTTCTGCGACAGCAGCAATGACTCGAGGCCTGTCAGGCCGCCCAGGTCCGGCAACGTTGTGATTCGGTTGTTTGCGACGTCGATGTTCTTCACCCCCCGCAGGTGTGTCAAAGTGGAGTTCAACTCCCGCAGCTGCCACCCAGACAGTGACAGCTTCCCATCACTGAGCATGTCAGGCACGTGCTCCTGCGCTCTCGAATGGGACTCTGCCAGCTGTCGGCAAGGCTCGATATGCGGAACAGAATGCGATATGTGCCGTATGCCAAAATCAAAAAAGCACAGCGTCGGCAAAGACGGCGCAACTATGACAAAGACTCCTGTCTGTGATAATCAGCTGATGATTTCGTGTGCTTGATTGTGCCTGTGCACGCCTGCAGGCCCGGCAAGCTCCGCAACGCGCCCGCGCTTTTCAGCAGCCAAAGGCTTAGCCAATCTGGGTGTTTGCTTGCATGATGCCTTGCTTGCTTCCGGATTTCTCAAGCCATGGTCGCAAAAACGTCGGAGCAAAACAATACAGCATCACAACATGGCCATGCCAGAAAATTCTGCCCAGGAGGCAACACCTGACATATGGGATTTCCCTGCAAATCCAAGGTGTGTAATGCCAGGAACTCTGCGAATCGCACTGGGAGCCGCTCGATCCTTGCTTGCGGAATAAGGAAAACTTGAGGAACGGGGTTGTGACTTGAGAATCGTAAGCCAAACCAAACCTCCACACGCGACTCCTTGTGACTTGATAAACGAGACGGGGCATGTTTCAAGATTGCTGTTTCATGTCAAACGAGTCCTCGCCAAGCTGCCTGTTGTTTGGCGCGATCAGCTTGCGCAAGGATGGCATCACGCCGAAACTGAGTGACACGATGCAGTTGTTGCCCACGTCCAGCGTCTGCAAACAAGTGAGGTTGCCGAGGGCTGTCGGCAATTCCATGATCCAGTTGTGGGCAATGTCCAGGTGTTGTAAAGTCGTCAAGGTGCAGATTTCGAGAGGCAAAGCCTGCTCTGGATGGGTTGGGTGCTGCGCATGTTGATGGCGGAATACATCTCATGAGCCATGTTAGCATCATGTTTGAAGAGTGTGGCGGACATTCTATCCAATCGCGGACCTCCAGCATGTTGTGCGCCAGCTGACAGCCTCTGAGAGAGGAGCATTTCCCAATGTCTGGCGGCAGTTGCGTGACCTTCACAGCCAAACGCAAGCCCAAGCAACGCCAGTCACCAGGTGAGCCAACACAACTAACTAAAAAGAAGGGAAAAAGCAGAGCTCAGAAATTTCAAGGTACGTACCTGGTTTCCTGCGGCCCAAAGGCTGCACAGCCCTTGCAAGCACCCAATGGAGTTTGGCAGAATTTGCAGCCGATTCTGCGTGACGTCCAATTCCTGCAACGGCAAATCTTCGAAGCCCTCCTTGGTGTTCAGCTGCTTTCACCCAAGGCATAGAAGAAACGAGAACTCCGAAAACTCATGTGGCGAGTGCTGCCAAAGGACTGGCAGCTCTGACAGCAAGTTCTTCGTTGCCTTCAGCCTCGAAAATGTCAAATGCACAGAATTTATGACACAAAAGCAGTTTGGCGCGCAGCCCCGAAGGCTCGAAGCGTCTGCCGGGGTGTCCTTTGTTCCCTTTTGTGTCCCAGTTGGGCCATTTGAGCATTTCTTAACTGCTCTCAGAAGACTGAGCCCAAGGAGCACAAGCAAACTCCTCCACTGCCCAAGAGGAGACGGCAACCGGCCAAGCCTCGGAGTGGGGCTGTATTGGGCTGTATCCTCACTAGAGTCACTAGAGTCTCTAGGGCACAATGTCAAGCAGCGGAATTTTCACACAATGAAAATGCACGGAGCCCAGCTGCTTGTTTTCGGAGATGTTGAGATGCGTCAAAGATGCCAAGTTGAGGATTGCTTCTGGCAACACCTCGATGCAGTTGGCCTCAGCTCTGGGAACGATAATACCTCTGCTTTGAATCGGAGGGGCGTGCAGGGCCGTGCAGGGCCGTGCATGGCCAAGCAGCTGAAAGATCAAGGAGTCGGAGGCCGGAGAGCTTGCCTAGGACATGTGCTGACGGCTGGAGAGCTTGATTTGCCTTCTGACCTGTGAGAATTCATGCTCCAAGTGGCCTATGCTCACGGGAAGGCATTGAAGTTGTGACCGGTTCAGCCGGAGGATCTCCAAGCCTCCGAGGTCCCCAATTCGAGATGGAAGTTCAAGCAATTCCACAGAGGCAATCCTTGCATTGCAGCGTCTCAGTGTCAACAGCTCCAGCATGGCTGCAAAGAAGAAGGAACAAATGTCCATGTTTGACTGTCGAGATGCTCGAGCTGCCTCCTGTCTCGCAGCTCCTGCGGGGCTGACCCTTAGATCCCCCTTTTTTGCTCTTTCATTCTTTCATGGGGCCTGGGGGACGAGCCCCCGATCAACCTGCGCACCCCCACTGTGGACAGTGGTGGCGAGTGTTTCCGGAAACTTGGGGAGGGAGATATCCTGACCCCCATTACTGCCCCCCTCTGCGTCAGTCCATCCCCAAGTTCCAGCCTGTGTACTTGCATCCCCTTCGAGTGGTGCCCGAGGCAAAATCGATCCCCCCTCCCCCTCCCCCTCTCTCTTTCTTTCTTTCTTTCTTTGGGGCATGGAGCGGGTGGCATGGCATGATGCACCAACCTCTTTCCAAAGATCGACCATCGGCCCAGCAAGCCATGTTTGGAATTCGGAGGGAATGCAGCTTTATTTGCGTGGCGAAGAACTTGGTTTTGGCCTGGCCTGCTTATAGCTTTAACCGTCAGCTCAACACTCTGCCTCCACACGCTTCATGTGACTGCGCCACGGGAAAGTTTTTAGGAAACCTAAAGTCCCTCACCACTTTCCCACCATGCGTCCTCGAAGGTCCTCGCCCCAGCTGCACGCAAAAAGCCCTGCTCGAGTCCATCCTGCTGAGAGTCCGCCTTAGTCCCAGCCATCTCGGAACTAACTTGCGTTCTAACTTGCGCTCCGTCGATGCCGCCGCGCAGCCCCTCGCTTCTTCTCTTGCTCTTCGAGCTCATCAAAGTCCATGGCGGCGCAGACAAGCGCAGAAGAGCTTGGGGCAACAAAGCTACTTCAACAACATGTGCAATGCAAAACCTGGTGAACCTCCCTGTTACACCAGAGGCCGGCTCAGTTTTGATCGACACAACATGCAACTCCTCGGCGATTCCTTTCGTGATGCTGAAGAGAACCTTCTCCAAAACACCGCCCAGCTCATGCATCAGGTGCCTCGGACCATGCATTAAATGCATTGTCGGAGCAGCGCTCTCAGCACAACCGCAGCCTGGTTCTCCAAAAGATCATCCCAAGAACTCAAGCGCCCCGAACGCTCCCGACCCCTCCATGTCTTAAGTGCCAAAGCTGCAAGAGCATGTCCGACTCAGCAGATTCGATGCAATCATCATCCTCGAAGTTGTCCAAGGAAAGCTGCTGCAACGCGGGTGTCGAGGATGATTCCACTGGCACATGGCCTGCAAAGGCTCCACGTGCATGCCCACGAATGTATTGTGTATAGATGCAATTGGGTGGAGTTGGTCGGAGATGGTTGGAGTGGGTGCATTTTGCGCAAGGCCACGGCCTCATGACTGTCCCCTGCAGGCCGACATGTACAAAAGCTCTATTGCTGGGGTCTCTCGAAGTGAAAGGTTGACAGTGCGCCCTGACATCGGCGAAACTCGTCAACGTCAAAGCGAAGCTTGCATTCAGTCGCCTGAAACTGCCCAGACCACCAGCAACCTGCACAGGCATGCTGAACAAACGCCACAGCAAAGCTGGAAAGCACTAGGACTAGGGCTGTTGTGGCCGCCACGTGTGTGCTCCTGAAGCTTGTGTGACGGAGCAGTCTTGCCTAAGGACGAAAGCTGCTGTAGTTGCCAGACGTGCGCTGCGCACCATCGGACGAGCAGGCTGGCTCAGAACTGGCTAGCGGCTAGTTTGGTTCTTTGGTGCGGGTGCGGGGATACGATGTGAGGGCGACACATTGTGATGCAATCAGAGTCACTGGGACACTATCCATGCGACTGTCCCTTTTTGGTGCACACAGCCTTCCTCATTTACAACTACTTGGTGCCATGTGCGCCGTATTCAGTATGAAGACCAGCACAATCTTGGGACACATTTTTTTGCGGCTCGGATGTTGCCCAAGTCCTTCTTTGAGCCTTTGCGAAGACAACCTTTGCACAAGGACCCGTGTGCTTCTGCACCGCTTCTTGACCTGCTTCGCTGATTTAGCAAAAACAAGGCCAGTAGACAGACTCACAACGAACCCTTGTTTTTTGGGGGGTTGGAAGTACACGGCAGGTGACAGCGCCGGCTCTGCTGCCCTCAGCTCGTGGCATCAGCTACTCTCCCCAGGTCTTCTGTGATCGGCACGCCGCCGCGCCCAGCAATGAAAGCATATCCTGCCGACAAACCCACGGTGCATGTTGAAATGTAGCTGAAAAGCCCAGACAGAATTGAAGCTGATGCGGCAGAAGTGCATCCTTTCCAAGCAGCAGCCAGTGCAAGCGTGGTTGAACGCACATTGACAAAGGCTGTGCATGCGAACGAAATAATTAGCTACGTTGAGGTGCGTCTCCTTTAGTTTTGTGGTGCTGTGCCTGGCAATGTGTTGACATCCCACTCGGCCAGTGAGTCTGAACATCTTTGAAATCTATTCGGGAAACCTGGAAGTCGTGGTGGCCATCTTGAACCAGTCCCTAAGTCCCCTGAGTAGAATCCCGGTCTCCACCTTCTCCTTCAGCGAGAACCGGGAAGAGCGACGCATGGACCAAGGACAATGCTTGCAGACTCTCCTGCTCAGCAATGCTGTTCGCAAGTTCGCAAGCGATACATGCGGATCCTCATGTGGGCTCCTGGTCTGCTCCGCCTTTCAGTGCAACCAAGACCACCTTCACATGTCTAGCACGCCCTCGCGTCTACCATTTTCTATGCCATGAACACATTCATGCTTGGCCAGGCGCTGTATCCAACGCCACGTCCTGCAAGTCCTGTCAACGCAAGGTGGAGTACGACACAGGCGAAGCCATGGCACACGTTTGTGTACCAGCATCCTTCTTCAATTGGTCCGGCGCTTTTTTGTAGGATCTGGCGAAGATCACCTGCTCACAAGACATGGGGAAAGAGCTCGTGACTTTTCCTCTTCTTCTCCGCAGCCAGAAGGTTCGGGGGTTGCTCTCCCCCTCCGCGCAGTCGCGCCCATTTGTTCGGGGCCGTCCAGGTAGTGTTCGAAGTTTACCATCATGTACGGCCATGTACGGCCTCCCTACCTCCCTATCTGTCTTCTTCCACTTTTCTACAGTGCTTAAAGGTCCACGTAGCCGTGCCTTATTTCTTTCGTTAGGGCGCTAGGGAGCCAAGGGTCCCCCTGACGCAATTCAACAACTGTCGGATCACCCTCAAACCTCACGCGCAACCCGAGCGAATTCCCCAAAACCCCTTTAAACACCCTGTCGCAAGCATATCCGCCCCCCCCCCCCCCCCCCCCCCACGGAAATGCCGATTGGCGCGTCCTCCCCCCATTTTCCGCACATGCCGTCGGCACGCGTGCGAATGTGCTCATGCTGTTCTCAAGGACTTGACGGACTCGTTGCATTGGCAGGTGAGACATGCGAAGCGCCTCCTCGGTGCTAGCATTGATGGCCACCAAGTTGACCTCAGGAGCTCAGGCTATGCATGATTTCTGCAGGGTCTGTGGCAAGCCCATGGTCGTTACAAGTCGAGTGCTGAGAGCAGCACGCCTCTGGCAGGAAAGAAACCTGAAGTGCACTCGTGCGAGTTGCCTTGTACGTGCAATGCGTCCATGAACCTTTTGCAAAAAACACACACACACACACACACACACACACACACACACACACACACACACACACACACACACACACACACACACACACACACACACACACACACACACACACACACACACACACACACACACACACACACACACACACACACACACACACACGCGTGCTCAGAGACAGAGAGACAGACAGGCAGACATTTTGACAGGCGGACGTTTTGACAGGCAGACATTCTGACAGACTGACAGCCACATCACGTAACTTATATAAGTATTCTGCTATTTCTCCAGCACAACGGAAGGATGCCGTTACCAGTGCGGAACCATGGAATTTCATTCGCTGGACACTCGAAGCCCAGGTGCTGATCGGTCGGTCAGAGAGGAGGAACGATGCCCACCCGTCAGCCTTCAGTGTGTTTTTGCCGACGTCTTCTGACTGTTTGGACTGGGGAAGGCTCGGTTCACATGGATGCGAGAATGGATATGGATGCTGCAGGGTGAGGCTTGCGTGCAGCACTATTTCAAGGCATCGCCAGAGCATTTCTGACTGTTTTTCTGATCTTCTGAGCATGTCTGGGAATCCCAGCCCAGCGCGTCGCCTTCCCAAAGCTAACAACTCGCGCAGTGGCGCAGGCCTGGCCGGTGTTGGTCCGTGTTGACCAGTGTCGACTCAAGTCCAAAAAACATCCACAAACCTTCTAGTCGACCCACAACAGGTTGCACACATTCGCCCCCCCCCCCCCCCCCCCCCCGGGAAAAAAAGAGAACTCCTTCAAAGGTGAATCCTTCGATCACGAACCTTCCCCTATCGTTCTAGGACGGGCTCGTTTGGGCAGTGGGTCCCCTTTAGCGCTGTTGCTCGTCCAGCCACTACCGGACGTCTTCTCATCCATCCTTTACGACTGAACTCGTATTGCTTGTTGGGGTGTCCTTCATGGTGGTACTTGTGCACTGTTAGAAGGCTTCGCTGTTCAAGGAGACGGCGGCACCACGGCTCAAGGCGCGGGTGGGTTCTGCCTTGAAGGGGGGGGGGGGGTGGGGGCCTGAGTCTTTGTACAAACAGGCGAAAGAGAAAAGGCATCTCCATTCTTCTGCCGGACATGTTTGAAGGGATGTTGAAAGCTCGGCCCCGCATGTCACTCCAAGCGAACAAAGCATTTCAACTCATGCCGTGCCCGGCCTGCGCGCGTGCGATGCTCAGGACCTCGGACAAGCAGCTCAGGCAAGGGACATGCGTTGCACCTAGTACTGTTCTCAATCACTGCCAGCTGGTTTGACTGACAAAGCTGCATTCTCGAGTCAGCTGAACAGCCCAGGCCCAGGCTATGAGTGCACATGCCAGGGATCTTGCCAGTGGCTGCATCCAAGCCGACAATCAGCACTGTATGCTTGCAACGTAATCATGCGTGCTCTCGGGTTTCAGTTGTTGGCCTACAGTGTAATGTGCTCAGCAACAGTGCTTCATCTGTCCGAGTCTAGCTCAAAATCCTAGCTCTCAGGCGCTGTGCCGATGGTCGGACTTTTGGCGAGACATGCAATTGAAGAGCATGCACGGTCACACAAACCCGTCATGATGACATGAGACTACTGCACGCGCAGGACTGATCTTAGCATTGAACTGGCTGGCGCATCTTACTTAGTCTACAAGCTTTGATCTCAGCTGTGCGATGCTTTGCCGCTCTCGAACGCGCGGTCGCCAGAAACTAACCAATTTCGATGATCTGTCGGTTCTTGTTCTGCTGCCTGCGCAGCCATTTCCTCGCCGTGGACATGGCGGCCGCTGCTCGCACGACAGATAGCAACGCAGCCAAGTTTAGTCAGGCAGCTGGTACCACTCCTCTTGCTTGTAATCCTGAAGCGTTGAAGTGTTCATGTGACTTGCGACTTACAAATCTTACAACACTTGTGTGTTTTCACGTTTCCAATTTTCACGACCGTCAATAAATCGAGCCACGTCTTTCTTCGACTCGGGAGGTTTCTCAGTTCCCGGAGGCGCCATGGCATCTCGCCAATATGCTTGCAAGTCGTCGGCAGAGTACTCACCTCATTTCCCATCATCACTGAGACACGTACGGGCATGCGCCGGTCATGTCCAATGACTTCGGAGCGAGAAAGTGGGGAGATCAGATGGGCTGCTAAAGCGGAGGAAAAGAAGAAGCAACCCTTGCAGCACAAGGTTCTGGAGTATGCCTTCTTCAACTCATCAAAGGTGTACATCTTGCCATCATCGGGACACAGCCGCTTCTCCTTGGCCAGCAACTGCACGTTGTCACACGCATGGTAGTAGAACGACTCACGCCCAGGAGCCTCTGCGCTGCTTGAGGTGGAAGCCTGTTGGCAAGGTTGCCACGGGCCCCCACGGGCCCCCCCACCACCACCCGCAAGTCCCACAAGTCAGAGGCCGGCTCTGACAGCAGACAATTTGCCTTACGAGCCAAACCCTTAGTTTCATGTTGTGCTATCTTGCGCCTTGCACTGCGAATGCGCCCTTGCCGGCCTGCATTTCACCAGAGCTGCTCGCTGCCACTTCTTGTGTCGAAGCTTGAGGCTGAGGAGCACCTGCCATGCCATCTGCATGCCATCTGCATTGAGGGCGCCCGAAGCACTGCAAGGCAAGAAAGGGCAAAAGCAAGCCAGGCGAGCCAATGTCAATTACATGGGTCGGCTGATTCTTTTGACGCCGTAGCCACTTTTGATACCACTCTTCATTTTCATGCGGATGTCGCACTGGTGCCCCTTCCGGCTCCGGCATACTGGGCATACTGTGAATGGACATCTCCTGCATGAAGGGTGCGTGCTTTCTCATCGTCCCTCTTCACGCAACTTCATGCAACTGTAGCAGCTACGATTCGCTCCTGGTCGAGGGGCTGGGTCTCGGGATCCGCAACCGCTTCAGGCACCTGAACCTGCAGAAAATGATTTCAAATGATTTCAAGAAGCCGTACCCAAACGAAGAATCAGCGTGCAAATGGCCTCATCCACTTCAACTTTCTTTGCTTTAGTGACGAAGCTCTCCGTCTTCGATGATGCCGGCGGCGGGCCTTAGCTGAAGCAGCCATTCGTAGCCTTCACGTACTCAAATCATTCCGACACCTTCAAATCTTGAAGCCAGTGCTGCTCAAAGGCTGCTTTGCTCTCTTTCCTTTTGTCGGAGCAGCCACCGCTGATACCACTCTTCGTTTTCGTGGGCGGGTCGCCCGCTGTCCTTCCGGAATTACACAGATTTGTCGGCATGAGTCGGGGCCAGGATGCCCAAAAAATCAAGGTGTGCACTTACCAGTCCCTTAACAGCATGTCCTTACTATCCTTACTGTTCGAATCTTCGTGTGCGTGGGTGGCTTCACTCGGCGGCTCGGCTGCTTTGGATCCCTGAGCAAGGCAGGTCATTGCAGCTTGGAGCTTCCAAGCGCGCAGTGCTTCAGAAGGGAGCCACACGTGCAATCTCAAGCAGGCGTGATTCATTCTGGGGGATGCTGCGATTGCCGATTCTGGCCTGCTGTGTTTCCTGCGTGGTGGCAGAACTTGTTTCTTGACTGCCGACTCGAGCCGTGGGTGGCACCCACTTTAGCTCCGGGCCTTCCACATCCTGTTTCGATTCTGGGACCAGGTTTTCGACCTTTGGCTCTTCCCTTTCAGGCCTTTCACTTCTCCACCAGTCTGCAGGAGTTTCTGGAATTTCTTTCTGTGCCTCCTGTCGATCTTTTGCAAGAGCTTGGCTCCATGCTTGGCTCCATCTCTCCTGACGGCTCTGGCTGTCGTCCTGCTTCGTCTCCAAATCCCAATCAGGCCTTGCCCAAGAATAGCCGTAGTTGGAATAGCCGGAGTAGCCTGAATAGCCATAGCTAGGATACGACCACGACCAGCTGGACCATGTTGGCCTTGCATACCAACTGCTGGAGCTCCATCCACCCCAGCCAGTGTAGCCAGTGTCGGTCTCCTTTGACCTGTCTTCTGCCTCATTGCTGGATTCCTCTTTGGCCACTTCAGATCTGTCCCAGGGAACTTTCTCCTCCTGACCCCAGGAACCTTTGCAAGCAAAGGGATCTGTCTTGTTTCAACCCGTGCTCGAGATTGATGAGGCCGCCACCTTGCCACCAAGAGCCCTGCACGGAAGTTCGAGAAAGAACACATTCGAAACAGCGCTGTGCTCCAGCGCGCCTGGTCCCATCGCGAGCCCCAGCCAGGAGAATAACTCCATCCTGCAGAGGGACTACGCATGACTGGACTTGGAGGTCTGGTTGCACGTGCATCTACAGGCGGAACGCGTCCATTACACCTTTTTACTTGCTCGTTTATCCGCGTGGCATCTTCCATGAGCTCCAGCGAGTGAGAGGCGAACAAAAGGAAAGCACAGGAAAGAGGTGCGCATCAGATCTCTCGACTAGAGCCGCGCAAGCGATCAGCGCCTCCGCCCCATCCCGCAGCCATGGGCACAAGCTGTGAACTAGCGTCTTTTGAGACTACACACTTTTTACTCTGCTTGAACCCTATAGAACCTCCAACGCAACGCTTGACACTTGTGGGCCCCTACCTTTCCTGCGGCCTGCGTGCAGGACAGGACCAGCGACCGTATCAACAACGCAAACGACATGGCTTTAAAGACCTCTTAGAAGAGATGATTGCCTGATTCATACTTGGAATGCTCTGGCTTTTTCCGACGTCGCCCCTCACGGCGAAGACAATCGAGACTCACGCAGTTTTCGACCTCGGCAGGTGAGAATGCGTCAGAACAGACTCCACCATGCCCCACCCCAGTTCAAGGCTGACCCAAGAAATGACTCAGGAGGTGAGACTGAGGTACCAGCGGATTGCAGAGGAACACTTGCGCGCAGAAAAATCTTCCTGTCATGTTTGGCTCCAATGTGCATGGGAGGGTGCTTTCTGCGCCTTGACAGCTGCGCCTCCGAACCATCTACCCGAATGACCCAGAAGCACCGGTGCTTGTCATTTGGTGGCGGCGCCATGTCAACCTGCATTGGCAGGGCGGCAGGGCTCTCAAGTTCTACTCCAGGACCCGCATGGTGTTCTGATGGAAGTACCACCGGTACAACGAATCTGCATGAGGCCCGCCTTAAAGGAACGCAGCCCTACACCAATTTTGCGATCGGTATCTGGATGGTACTGCAGGAGCTCCTACAACTTGCCACACAGTGAGCCATTCTTTGTCACTCGGTAATCAGCTGATTTTCTTGAACAGCCATCCTGCACGATTTGGTTCTGTTGCGCGTCCTGAATCTCCTGGAAAAGCGGAATCTTTGCACAAAGAGCGCTGCAGGATGCAATGACGCAGCGCTGTGCCACAGTGGTCCTGTCCCACTTCAGCCTGGTGACGCAACAGCGACGAGGCTTGCGTAATCATGTGAATCTGATACTTAAATATTTTTTTGGTAGGGATGAAGTGCAATCAGTTGCAATCAGCACCAGGCCCCGTGAAGGATCTCCCGCCAGGCTTCCAACAGGCGAGTCAATCGTTGCACATCTGAGCAGCAAACTCTGCTGGGCACGAACTGCCTGCGTAATATGTTCTCTACTGGTAACGACTTGGACCCTTTGCTTTTCTGCTTTGTGCCACGGCACGTGGGTCGTTCAGCAACTCGGAGGGCTGTTCCCAGGAAGTCCGGCCAGAGGGCACATGCCTTTTGCAACGCAATGCTACTCAAAGCCCGACTCCACGCAACTCTTCTCCTGCTGCAATCCACACTTGTGTGGGGTGCTGGCCAATAGTAGTTCCTATTGTGTTCTTCGCTCCACACCACCTGCAATGGCAAGAAGACTATGGGGCTGCAACATGTGCACTTTGCCACAGGCCTTCCAATCACCTCCTGGTTTCTGCTCTAAGTCCTGGCGTGGGCTGTCCTCGGGCGCTACGCTTGGCGTAGAAGATCTCGGGGCGGCAGCCTGCACAAGCGTGCGCAGTTGTTACTGGTAGCCGCTAGCCAGCTTCGGTTCCGGCAACCTCTCACTTTCGCAGCGGCCCCCATTCTTGTGAAAAAATATCCCTCACCACGCTCGGCTTCAAAACCCCAAGAAAACATGAACAAACTGAAAGCCCCTCCTTTGGCCTCAGCTAACCCAAAAAACATAAGCCCCAGCGTCCCAATTCCGACCGAACTGTAGACAAACCTCCCCAGCGTCCCAATTCCGACCGAACTCCCTCTAGACAAACCTGTCCATCCGCATCTCAGTGTTTGAGACGAATTTCGGCTTCACCTCTACTTGTCGAGTTCGCACATTTTGTGGAACAAGGGGCCACCCTCCCTATGTCTTTGGGGTGAGGGCAAATAAAGTCACATGGAGTCTGTCAGAGACCTGCCATCCCAGGCCATCCCATGTCCATTACTCAGCGCATATTTCTCTCGGCAAATCCTTTATTTACGGGTTTGTTTTTTGTGACAACTTGGTATTTGGGCAAACATCTCCATCTTGGCCTCTGGAGTTGGTGCTGCATCGCTTGTCGCCTTGGACCCTTGATTTTCATGTGGATGTAGCCACTGCGTCTTTCCAGTCGTTCGGTGCCAATAGTATGGTCGACCATGTACCTGTCCGGTGGCCGATGATGTGGCACGTGCAGCACATGCTTCTTCTAGCCATGAGCGGCCTCGCTGAATATGCTTTCCCACTCAGCACGGTTGTCCTCGCCAGTGACGACAACCTTTTCCTTTGGGGTCGAACGCTCGACCTGCTGGCCAGGCTTGGGAAGCCTACCTCAGAGCTCCTGTTGTTACTGACATGAATGCCCGGAACCAGCCTGGATCTGGGCAGGCGCTGGTTCTTGCGCATGTGGAGTTGCCGTGGGGCGATGCCACTGGGTGCGGCCACTTGGCTGATGCCAGAAATAGCTGTCGCCATGTTCCTGCAACGATCTTGAAGTCTGCAACGTGGGTGGGGCCTCTTAACTCGAGACACGCTGCGCCTTGCTGAACACACTTTCCCAGCCCAGCGGTAGCTCCCCCGCATCGTGGTGTGCACCTGCCTGCGCAAATTCTTTGCGTGCGACGCAACTACACAAGCAAACATTGACGCAGAATCCCCATGGTGGAGAAGCGAACTCGCGCTGACTGGCAAAGCACTTTCCCTCCGCGCAAAGCTCTCACTTTCAGTACCCGCCCAACCGCACATTCCAGTAGACTCATCACGCTCCAAACCGCGGGTCGAACTTGCAACTATAGGCCCCCATTTTGGAAGCTCCCGGAGCTGTTTCACTTGGTGGTTCGACATGGGATGGGAGGTTTTGCTTCGACCTCTTTTGAAACACATAGCCGGCACAAAGCTGCGTCGCAGCCGCTGCGGCTGCGGCCGTTTTGTGTTGTTGCTTTTGGCTGGAGTCTGCGAGAATCTGGAGTTATTCAACTTTGAACCGCCTCCCTGCCCCCCCCCCCCCGCCCCCTTCCCCGGTTCCCGTGAACGGTTCAACATGATTAGTTGTCCGGACCTTGTCGGACGTTCCATCAGCCACTGGCTTGGGATGGTCTCATATACCACCCTCCCAACCCTCGAATCTCAAACCCGGTCAGCATCACATCGACAAAATAATTCAAACCACCCCGTACTCCCGCGGCAAGGTGGGCATCTTCCAAAATATGGGCCTTCTAAACGACAAAGTAGCATAACCCTTCAACTTTGGGAATGTTGCAACGAATCGTTAGGGCAAGACTGCTAATTTTTAGCTTTTTTTTGTGAATGTTTATTTTTTAAGATTTTTTAAATGTAATTTATGTTTTTTTGGTGTAATTATGTTGTTTTTTTGGTGTGTGTGAGGTGGAGGGGGCGGGGGCGGTGTATCAAAAATACCCAATAGCTTGCCGCAACATACAACAGTCGATGCGCGGACATACCGAAGGGCCGTGTGGTCCCGGTGGTGCGGGAAGCACATTTTTTGGCTGCGGGCACGGGCCAAATTACTTGCATGCAAAAAAGCTCTTACTGAGGGGGGATGGTTTTGTTCTTTTGGCTGTGGGTGTTGGAGCGCGAGTTGTTTTTTTGGCTGCGGGGTGCAGGGGCGTTTTTTGGTCGAGGGCGCGTTGTAATGTTGTTGCGGAAACGAGCCAAGTTACTTCATTACCTGCGGGGCCGCCCTCCCCCCAAGCGAGGCAAGCAACCACAACAAAAAAACGTTTCGTAAAGACAATCACCCCAGGTTCGAATAATCGCTAACACAGAAATGTTGGAAAACACGCGTGCGGCAGCAAGAACCGATGCCAAGCCTGAGTCGCCTCAGGCGGATGCCATTGCGATTTGCCGCTGTCTTTGTGCCTTGCGGAAGGCGGGGGAACCCCATGGGGTATCCGTATCTTCCTCTACACACCGAACCAGTGGGCGGCGAGTCGCCAGTAGTACGGTCGGGCATGCCTCAGCCCATTACCACCCAAGCAGTTCTGAAAAGAACGTGGGACACAACATGGCTTTAACTTAACGCTGCAAGGCACGGTTCGCTGTAGAACTCCTGGCCGCAAACGGGGCGTTTCGGCTACCAAACCTGCTTTGATTTTTACAAGTTGTCATGTTTATTTTTCAAAAGCCGGTGCCTGCCAACCGACTGGTAAGCTGGCAAAGCGACGATGTTGGATCAAACCTGCCACATGGGCTTCACTCGTGAGTTGGCAATTGCGTGGGGTAACAATTGCACCGCACGGTTATCATCCCATACCTCAGAGGGTTAAAAATGCGTGTTCTCCTCCTCTCTATGCCCCGGAAACTAGCTAACTAGGATTTGCATGTATTTTGTTTTTTTTCCACGCACCTTTTTGCGACAATTACCGCGGTCCCAGTGCATGAAAGCGGCATCCTACGCGGGCTAGGTTGCCGGCAGCCGGCTGGCGGACGGCGAGGAGCTGTCCCGACCTCAGCGAGGATCTCGTGTAAGTCGGGCGCAGCTCCCTCATCGCAGATGTCGCCGCCCGGCGGTAGCTCAAGGAGGGACGCTGCGTATGCGCGCATGGCCGCGACGGCGAGGAGGCCGGACCAACGCTGCACCCACCCTGCGCTTGCGGCGGCCCGGAGTGGGGGTGGGAGACTCGCCGCGCGGTGACGCGCAAGGTGGCGGAGGAAGGCGGCGGCTTCAGCACCAAAGCGCCCTCCTACCTCGACCCCGACGACGACGAGCCGCGCACGCCGCGCGCTCGCGAGCTCGGGGTACGTTTGGCGCCGCTTTCGGCGAGCGGCGGCTTGTACTGCTGCGCCTGGGCGGGTGTCGGCGCCCGGCTGCGGCATGCCAGCCCGTGTGACCGGACTGACGATAGTGGCATCAATAGCGAGCTGCGCTCCGTGCTAGAGGGGTAAGCCGTTCGCGACGACTTCGATGCAACGTGCGTCGCTGACAGGAACATCGATGTTCATGTCGGCGACCCTGACGTGTTTTTTTTTACGTCAGCAGCAGTCTCCGACGCTCAGCGCAGCGGCAGGCGGCTGGGTCCCTCAGCGTCAGCAAATCCAGGACCTCATCCGGGCCGTGCGGCCGACCGCCGACTTCCTGCTGCACGGAGACGGAGAGCATGCTCCACCAGCGACGGGCCCACGCTGTTCGCGCCGGGGCCCGCACGCCTGGTGGGGCGCGGTGTGCGCGGAGGGCGACCAAGCGCCTAACCAGGTTCAGCTTCACCGCGTCCCTCCCACCTGGCAGCCGAGGACGCATAGGCCCTGTGCGCCACGGCCACCAGTTCCGGGTAGGTGGCGTGCGGTTCTCAGGCGCTGCTCCCGGCGCGGTGGTGTGGGTTTGGGGTTTGCTAACTTTCCCCGCCGGGCCGACGGCTTCACGGGCTACCGTGCACCGTGCCCGCTCAACAAGCTTGGCCCGTCTGGCTAGGACGCAATTCCTACATTGCTTCAAAGTTGAGGGTGGTGTGGAGCCAGGCAGCGGCATGCGGCAAAAGTGCGCGATGGGAGGGCGGGCAGGGTGTACGCTTGCCACACCATCCCACCCATGCCTCCACTCACCGGGCTAGGAGGTTCCTTCCTGCCGATCGTGTGGGCTGGCTCCTTGGGCGACGAGCTCCCACGAGGGCACATATGCCCACTCCACCTCTAGCACGCCGCGTGCCTTCGAGGCCACTTGTAGGCGCGCAGGCCCCTGCCCATCAGTCAAGCAGCGGGCGGCCCGCTGCGCGTTTGCGGGACAGCGCTCGCGTAGCACCGAGGGCATCTGCCCACCCGGCCCAATACGCAGCTGTGCTGACGCGTGAAAGGCCCAAGCCTCCTAGGCTGGCGGGGAACAGGGCTATGTCCCTGGCGGGGCAGGCCTCGTCTTTGCGCCCAAACACGCCTGCAAGGTACCCCATAATATGGCCGCGTCACGTGCCGCCGCGGGAAGCGGTAGTGATACCGGTTGCATGTTTTTTTTTCTCACGCCTCTTTTGCACCAGCGCGACTGCAGTCTGGTCGGCACTACGGCAGCTCCGCCAGAAGGTCGCCGACCGGCCCTTCGGCGCCGTCACTGGCGTCGACGGGGTGCACCGGCAGCTCCAGCAACATGGCCGCGTGGGCTCTCAGCGCCGCCAGCGAAGTGAGACCCGTCCATCGACGAGCCAACGCACGCCCTGCTGCACCCGAGCTCCACGCTGCGCGCGTCGCGCCGCGTGCCCACGCCAAGCGCCGTATGAAGCCGAGCGCCTTCGCTCCGAAGCGGCCGCCCACTTCCAGTCCGAAAACGACGAGGCGACATCGGCCGCGGCCGTCGGGGCGCAGCTCGGGTACGTGCGTCGCTTGCGCGCAGCCGCTTGCTGGAGCGCCAGTCCAGGCTCAGGGTCGCACCCCGGGCGCGCTTGTCCGTTTCGCTGGACTGCCGAGGCGCTTGCGCTGGGACCGCGATGTGACTTGCAGTTCCAAAAAAAATAGCTGCAGCCCAACTCGCGGCGCGGTTGGGGGGCCTCGGCCTGCGTTGCGCGAGGGCCGACCGTCATACGGCGCACTGGGCCTCTTGGTGCGACGCGCTCCCTGCTGTTCGTGACCGAGCGCTTCAGATCGCGCAGCGCATCCTGCAGGCACTCCATGCCCCTGAGGCTCATCGCACGCCTCACCCACCTGTTTGCTGGCAACTTTGCCACATGATGTGCGAAATTCCAATAGCCATGGATGCATTTGTAAGACCAACTCTGCAAGTTTAACGGCAAGTCACGAAGGTGCTGCAGGGGGAGAGATCCGTTGATGCCGGGGCTGCGCGCGCTCGGCCAGCACACAGCGCTCACCCACCAATACGCGCAGCTCCAGCCCGTCGACGGCCTGTATGCGTTCCTCGACGATGTCTACCTCACGTCCGGTCCCGAGCGCATCCTCGAAGTGCTGCGCGCGGCCCAGGCGTGCCTGCCGAGGCACGCCAAATCCACCTCGGCAAGACCAGGGCCTGGAACCCCGCGGGGGAGGAGCCTGCCAGCTTAGTCGCGGCGATCCCGCTGGCGGAGGACGGTTCATCGTGCTGGCGCGGGGACTGGAGCCTACCCGTGGCGCAGCAGGGACTGGTCGTCCTGGGCAGTCCCGTTGGCACCCGCGAGTTCGTCGCAGCAAAGCTTGAGGAAGCAAACGTGAAACACGAGTTGTTCGCCCGGTTGCCGGACGTGCAAGACCTGCAGTGTGCGTGGCTGCTGTTGCTCTTGTGCGCGGTTCCTCGCTGGATCTACCTGCTGCGCACTGTCCCGCCGGCGGATACAGTCTCTTTCGCAGAGGCGCATGACGCTGCAGTGATGCAGTGCCTGGGCAGGCTGCCTCAGGGGCGGATGACGGGCTTGTTTTTACCCCGACCGCCATGCAACGGGCGCACCTGCCGCTGCGCATGGGGGGTATGGGGCTGCCGTCGGCCAAGGCGCATCGGCACGCAGCATACTGGGCCTCTTGGGCGGACACCGTCGGGGCACTCCGGGAATTTCATCCGCAGATGCTGGGTGAGGCTGCCGCCATGCCGCCCAGCACCCGGCAGGCCGCATACGCGGCGGATTGGCTCCGTTCCCAGGGCTTTGCCGCGCCTACTTGGGCATCCCTGCTGGATGGTGCTGCGCCGCCGCACGGGGCTGATGCGGACGAAGGAGGCCCGGTGGCCATGCAGAAAGGCTGGCAGCGCTGTGCCGGGGCCGCAGTGGAGAAGCGCGCGCTCGAGATGTTTTTTTCAGACCTCGACTCGGCATCGCGAGCGCAGCTGCTTTCCCAATGCGGTCCCGGCGCGAGCTGCGCCATGACTGTGTTGCCCACGGGACCGGACTTCACCGTACCCAGCGACGAGTTCCGGATTCTGCTCCTGCGCCGCCTCCGCATGCCGCTACCGCTGGCGCCCCACCGCTGCAGGGGGCGTTGGACGAGTATGGGGACCACAGGTCGGCGTGCCCTCAGGTGGGGGTGCTGGCGCAGCGTGCTGGGCCCCTGGAGCGAGCGGCGGCCCGCATTTGCCGAGAGGCCGGGGCACGCGTCGCTGCTAGCACAGCGTTGCGCGACTTGAACCTGGACCTCCCCGCCAGCGATGCACGGCGCGTCGAGGTTGTCGCCAACGGCATGCCCATTTGGCGAGGGGTGCATGTGGCTGTCGACACTACACTCGTCACAACCTGTTTACGGCATGCGGCTGGCGAGGGGAAGCTGCTCGGATGAGTCAGCAAGCACGTCACGGAGCAGCGGTGAGTCGCCATCCACGTTGGCCGTGCCGGACAATGGAAGGGAAAGAAGACTGGCTGCAAAGGAACGCGCGGCTGCGATGGCCAGCAGCGCAAACCAGCGCGACGCGAACGCGGCAGTGCATGCAGCCGGCTGCGCAGGGGGAGCGGCCCGGGCCCGGCTGCGAGCAAGGATTCGGACAAACTCAGCGGCTTGAGCCCACCAACCTCAATGCCCAGCACGACAAGCCGGCAGCGGCGACCGGAGGTAAGTTCCGGTATGTCCGGGCCTTGGCACGTTCAGCGACACGCAAAACTGCCCCTCCGTCGCGTCATGGAAGGCTAGTCGCGGTGAAGGGCGATACCCGTGTGGTGTCTACGGCAAGCTGCAGCCAAGCCCGCCATGGCACAAACACAGGTGCGCGCGTGCAGCGGTCGATTGGGGCAAAGGATCACTGTTGCCTGGGCAAGGCAACGCCGGGTGTCTCGGTCATGCGAGGTGGCAAACCGCAGCGAGAGCCGGCTGGAGTGGAGAGAGAGAGCACCGCGCGCAGGGCGACGCGCAGATACAGCAGGAACAACCACGAGACCGGCAGATCGTGGACGCCGGGGGATAATTCGAGGAAAACACGATGCTGAGCGGAAAGGTGTTGGATGCGCGGTAATGTACCTCTTTTTTTAATGCGTCTTTTTCCGCAGCATGTCTTCGCGGGGCCCGGGGGCTCGGGGTCGGGAGGGAGGCCTCACCGCCGCGGCGGCACGCGGCTGGTGGGCGGGGGGCGATCCCAACGACCATCGGCCAGGACCTCGTGCAGCTCAGGCACGGCATCATCGCCGTTGCTCTCACCCGCAAGGGGCAGCTCGAGCAAGGAAGATGCGAACGCGCGCTGGGCCGCAACGGCCAGGAGCGCCGCCCTTCGCGCCACCCAGGCGGCCTGAACCGCTGGTCGGAGGCGCTGGGATGGTGGCGGCTCGGTGGCGGGCCAGGAAGCGCAGGAAGGTGGCTGCTTCGGTGCCAAAAGCGTCACCCACTTCCAGGCCAATGACGACCAGGCGGCGCAGCGCTGCTGCGGTGACAGAGCGCCCCGGGCTCGCCCGTACGTGTGAGCGGGGAAACGAGCGTCGCGTCAACCGCGAGCTGCGAGCCGTGCCAAAAGGACAAAGCATGACAAAGCCGTTGGCCACGACTTCGATGCGCCTGTCGTATGCGACGGGCACGTCGATGTTCATGTCGGCGACGCGGACGTTGCGAGCGACACGCGCACCGGCCTCGCGGCAAACCCGCGCAACGGCGCTGGTAGCGCACGCGGCACGGTGGTCCCCGAAAGCGTCGAGCCTGCCACGACAGCTGCACGTGCGGGGGGCAAGTGGCAGGGGCAGGCGTCGCAGGAGCAGAATGCGGAACTGCGCATTCGGAATGGACACGGCCTCGTGCGTGGGCACGCTCGTCGCACGCTCCGGCAGCTTGGCGCTGCCATCCCTGTAGAGCATCACCTGGTTCGAAAGCGCAGCCGCGCGCCGGCGGCGTGTCTGAGGCGTCAAGGAGGGAGGCCCACTGGAAGGGCGTCGCGTGCCTGATTCGCAGCGGCCGCTGCGGGCAAGGGCACATGGCCCTGCAAGGCATGGAGCAGCGTGCCACACCAAGAGGCCCAATGGGCAGCTTGGCGGGCAGCAACGGCGGAGCGCTGACCAAGCCCCCCAAACCGCAAGGCCAGCTGCGCCGTGCGCAGGCTGGGGTCAGGCAGGGGCGCGGCCCCCAGCTGCAAGAGGCGAATCAGGCAGGCACTTGGCAACTGCCGCGTCGTGGTCCCGCGCATACGCCCCGGTCTGGTGAGGGGTGACCCGGAGAAGGTGGTTGGCCCGTGGTTGGCCCGCAGAACAGGAGCAGGAGCCACGCTGCCGGCAAGCTGGACAACTGCGGGATGCGGCCGAGAAGTCGGTCATGCTGTGCACGTTTGAGGCGTAGCTGGGCAATGTGCTCATCCGCGCCGAGGGGGCTTCCAAGCACACGCAAACCACGATCTTGTGGGGGCAAGGCGGTGTCACCAACCCAGGTGCGGCTGCCGTTGGGGGGGAGGCGGGAGATGGGGTGGTTTGTTTTTAGGGTCAGCCCACCGACGTTTTTTCCCAAATGTGGGTTTTGCCGACATGAATCTGGATGGGCGATGTTGCGAACGAGCGATCCAAGCGGGCCAGGCGGGCTAGTCACTCAGATGTCATCGGTTGGGGTGGAGCTCTTCCTGGAGGGAGCGGAGCGCCGGCGCGAGGCCGAGGGCAAACAGGGCAGACATAAGCGGCTCGCCCTGCTCACCGCTCTTGGCCTGTTGCACGGCAAGGACGCTTGCAGTGGCACTCGCCGCTCGTGAGGACACGGAAATGCGCACTGGGTAGCGTGACATCCTCTTGCGCATCGCCCATTTCTGCGTGGGCCACCGTTGAGTGATGTTAGAACCTACATCCATTGCCACTTGACGGATGTGCGAGGCCGACAGCACCCGACGGACCAGCCAGATCTATGCAAAAACTCGACGGCATCTTCGTCACAAGCCCATCAGAACACACGGCGGACCAGCTCTGCATCGTTGCTTGCGAACATTCACGCGCAGACCCGTGCTTGGAAGAACGCAGGCGAGGAACCGCCGGGGCTGCTCGCAGCACGCCCGCACGAGCACCCCGCGAACCCATGCGGAACAAGAAACTGGATCGTTGTGCTGGCTGGGGGCATTGCGGTCATTTGCCTTTTAGCTCGCTGCGTGCGGGCGCGCCTGGTGTAGCCAGGCGGTGGCGTGCGAAGCATTGCTACGGGGGACGTTTTCAAGCGACTCGTTCGCCGAGCTCTCACACGCGCACATGCTAGGGGTTTTTACGGACAGCTTGGCGGCGATGCTCCGCGCAGCTGTCGAACTCGACCCGAGACCACAGCTCGATGGGCACAACGCGTACGACATTATCAGCCGCGACGCCATCCTGCGCAAGCTCCGTGACACCGTTCCAGCCCCACTCGTCACAACAAGCGCGTCGTTGCAGCTGGGCGCCTCCTGCAGGTCATCACCCGTGAGGTCGAGCGAGGTGCTGGCGTCGCTGCCAACCTTGGCACTCCCCAAGGCATCGCGCAAACGTTGGGCCTGCCAGGGTTTGTTGCGCTTGGCGTCCCGAAGGCCAGCCCGTGTGCGTCGCAGCTCAGGCAGAACCGCGGCTTGCCACTGAGGCGGATCACCCTTAAAAAAGAAAACGCTCGCTCGCGGGCGCGCGCGTGAGTTCCAAGACGCAGAGGGCTTGACTTTGCAATCTTCACTGGCGCATGGCCTACGTGCTCGGGTCGACTGCTGGCAGCAGCACGTGCTCTCGGAAAGAGGTGCGAAATGCCAGCGCTGCACATTGCTTCCAGCTGCTCAGCCGGCTGCCAGCCGCATGCTGGTTGCGTGCCGGCTGTAGCTGGTGCAGGCAACGCTCGATCGCGGGCTGGGCTACGCTCATGCAACACGGACAGCGCATCTGCCCATGCTAGGTCCGTGCTTTTGGATCACACCGACGTTGCCGGGTGTCCCGGACGGCGTGCCGCTTGACTTCGCTGATGCAGCCGTGCCCAGCTGACTGTCTTTTCGTTGAGCAGAGCGTTGCTGGCGGTTCCCGTGGGGCCGGCCCGATGTGGCGACGGATGCGAGACTCGGCCATGGTCCGCACAGTCGCAACTCCTATTTCTGCAGCCGCGTGATGCTGACCGTCGTTGATGCCAGATCGCCGAGCATGTGTTGGGTTGCAGCACGTACAATATGTAGCAATAAATGCTTTTACCCAAGTTGTCAATCGCTCCTGATTGAGTCTTGCTCCGTTGTGTCGAGTTGGCAGACAGGCGTATGTACTGGGCGCGCCTCTTCAAACGTCCCTGCAGGCGTCCTCGATTCACCGGCAGTGCTCACCAACGCCGCTGTCGCCCATTGCTTTGGCTCTCGTGCGCGACATGCTGGCATTACAATGCTGACGATGCTGAGGCGCTCGAGCTGTTCGAAGATGCGGCCAACCTGTTCGCAGCCCCACGCGTCCCTGCTGACGTCGCCACGACCTTGAGCCGCTCCCGCCCCGCCGCGCTCCGCAAGCCTGGGATGTTCCGGGAGCCCGCCTCTGTCCCGGAGCAGCGCATTGCTCACTACGCGAGCCCAACGTATGGGAGGTGCGGTGAAGACACGGGGTGCGAATGGCGGGCTTGCGATAGCAGCACCAGGTCCCGGGAGCGGCGTACAACATCCTAGTCAACTGTCTGGGTGGCGTGCTGCCGCCAACCGCGGGCAAGGTCGATTGCAGGAGGGGCTCGGTCGGGGATGCCTGCCGAGGAGGGCAGGGGTTGTGAGCCCGACTTCCCGCAGGCTGGCATTCTGCAGGAGAATCAGCGCTGGAGGCGACCCATTGAGGCAGCTGGTCACACAGCCCGTCATGTCGTGCCGCGAGTATTCGGTGGGGCTGCGCAGCCTCATGGAGCAGGGCGAGTTGTGCCCTGGCGGCACACGTCACTCCATTCGCGGTTGCGTCGGGAATTTGGGCTCCCGATTTTGAAACAAATTGTTTACCCTCTCCGCCTGAAGCCGAACCCGGACTTGCAGACATTAGGAGTGGGAGTGACAGGTCGGCTGAGGGCCAGAGCCAAACTCTGCAATAACATCGGGCTGGGTTCCCGAAGCTGTGAGCTTTGTTATTTGCAATCCCCCGCTTTGCTCGACAGTGCAAACTGTAGCAGAAAGGAGATTACCCCGACCCTGAGGCAGACCTCAGGAATCAAGGCAATGCGTGTTGAAAATCAAAGCCTTGCGGCTTCACGATAGGGCTGTACTAGAAATAGTAATAAGCACAGTACTAACAGCACTCATCGTTATTGTAATTGATGGTCATAATCATAGCGATAATCATAACATCAGCAATAGGCAGTAGCAATCGTAATCAGAAAGCAGTTAAGAATGTCGCAAGTGAGCATTGACAATTTGTAAGTACTAATTCTAGTCATGAGAAAATGGCGGCAAGATGTTGATTGAGCCCATGGTTTTCTTTATGCGGCAGTCAAGGGAGTCGTGGTTGCCAGAGGGCTTGTAGAGCGAGTTCGCGGGGTCACAAGCTCCTACATGCATTGGCACGAGGACTTGCGGCTTCGATCTCTCACCTTCCCTGGCCTTCCACTTCCACTTCGAGTTTCAGAATTTCAAAGGGCTTGGGTCTTATCGTGGCTTAGAGTTTAAAGCAGCATATGCGGCATGTGCGGACAGTTTCGGGCTTCAGGTTGATAAAAGATTGGCGCCTTTGCCAAAGCCTGCTTGGCCGCACGCTTCTTGAAAACCATTGCGTGGTTTGCATGCTCGGACGTATCGCTGGGTGGCTATAGGGTTCGCACTTTGGGGTTTCAGTGTCTGCCCTGACAATGTGAGCCGCATAGCGAAAATGGTCCTTTCTTGCCTTTTTTTTTTTGGGGGGGGGGGGGGGGGGGTGTCTGCTACTCCACACTGAAGTCACACGACACACTGACTTGTTTCATGCCCACCACCCGCCTGCTCGGATGCACTGCCAGCTGCAACGACCGATGCGCATGGCAGGCCACACCATCTTTTCGGCTGAGAAAGCTCACATAAGCTTGTCCACCGACAGAGTATGCAAGGCACGTGACATGAATCGTTCTCATGGACGCATGTCCAAGTGAAGCAAGGGAATTGCAGAAACATCGTCGTTCTACCCGGCTTGATAGGTTTGCGGACCCTGGTTTCGCTCGCGCAATGGCCCATGGCACCCTGCAGCACACAACATAGCGAACAAGCATTGCCACATCGACTCGACCCCCAGCTGCCCTAGAACATGATGGCTTCCGTCAATTTTGTCCAAAATACGACACGCCCGGCGCTGGGGCACTCTTCTCGCTTGCATGGTTGAAGCACAGCGTCGTTAGTAGGCTGGTTATAGCTGGCAAGCATCTCGCACCGAACTGGGTGCTTCTTATGATTGCCTCCTCCGTGAGAAAAGGTGCCAGGTGGGCCAAGCGGTTAAGAAGCTTCCGGTCACATCATCACGCGCGTGGCGGGTGTCGTGATTCCCCCGTAGATGTGCCAGAATGCCAGGACAACGCAATGAGTGTAAACGCCAAGCGCAAAGGGGAAAGTGTGGTCATCGGGATCAAGCGAATACTCCGAATTTGCCGGAGGCCCAAGCAACTCCTCGCTCCCGCGCCCGCATACCCACCTCGAGCGAGAGGAGACTGCAATGCTCTGAAGTGGCAGAAGGCGGAGCAACGAACACTTCGTGCCAAGGACGAAGCATTTCACTGTGCATGATTTCGTTTATCATACGCACACCGGGCGTTAGCAGAACGAATGAAGCATCTGCTGTGGGCGGATACGTCGCAGCAAGTTGAGGATGCTGGGATAGTTGACTTGCTCACTGTCACGCAGGGGATGTTGCGCAACTACCAGCGGGAGAATCAACTTCTCTGTGATGTCGCTCGGAGTGCGACGCCGGCACGACACGGACCTTGCTTTAACCGAGCAGCAGCGTGTCGTCGTGATTGTGGTTTACCCAATGCTGGACCTGGCTTCAACAAAATATAGGCTGTGACTCAAAGATCTTGGCCTGCGAACGTGGAGCGTCTGGGGACATTCCATTTCCAATGCGTTGGCTCGTCTCAACGAAGCCTCATGGAAGCTGGAGAGTTTCCGGCTTGCCCAAACTTTCTCTGTCAGCGTCAGTGTAGTTGCAGAACCGTGTGCTAACTTACCATGCGAATGTAGCCAGCCCAACTTCTGAACTGTGAAAGAACTGTGAAAGCTCAACGCCAGAGCAGTCATGTCCCGAACCCGACTTTTTCTTTCAATGTGACACAGGCGCAGGGATGCGCTTAACGCACACGGTGCCTTTGGCAGCGTGCACCCTTAGACTTTGTAATCAATCGTAACATACGAACTAGTGAACCCATGAACACAGAGTACCTATGGGGCCAGTGGGAACTGTAGGCGTCTCTCCCTCACTTGACTGACGCCGTGATGTTTGGGCAGCTCGCAGCCTGCGGCAGGGCACGGAAGCGGAAAGTGCATGAGGCGCCAGGCTGCTACTTTTGGAACAGGTGTGTCATGGTCCTACAACAAAGCATCATGGTCGGTATATCTCAGCTTCAATAGCCTTGCAGTTGCCGCCCTTTGACGCCTTTGCCTCCTATCCTTGCGTGCCTTGGTCAAGCCAAGCTTCTCTCCAGGCTTGATGCGATTGAAAACCTGGGTGTACCTGGAGGCACACAGACAGGGCCAGAGGGAGAGCGGGAGAGAAACAGACAGAAAAACAAGAAGAGAGAAGGAAAAGCAGAGCATCGATCTAGTGTTGATGCCCTTAAGGCCAGTTCTCTGGCTCCGGGTACGGGATGTTTTTGCCCGGGGACAGAAATCAGACCGCTTGCTTTCAAATCTGTTCATGCTTTGGCATCTGGATCATGATAATGATCGAGATGATGTTGCGGCTGCACCGTCGCTGTCGCCAATCACCCTGCAATCAGCAGAAACCCGATAAGTGGTATGATGCTCTTTCGAGATGCTGCAGGTCACTGGGAGCCCGCCCACGTTTCTCGGCTGTTCCTGGCATGAACATGCAGCTTGCATCTTGATGCCCGCTCATGGAACTTCGGGTTTCCGGTGGACGGTGCTTTCGGCATTCAAGCTGCCTTGCCGCGCGCTCCAGGGTTTTGGCCTTGCGCCAGCCGATTTCCGTGAAGCGGTTGGGCCTCAAAGATCTGCGGCACAGTTCAGCTCTGGGGGTTTCCTTTTGGTAGCCAAATCGCTCAATCAACTCGCCCTACTGAACTGATGGGACTCGTGGACACATGTAAGAGTTGTCCGTTCTACTGGCCGCACAATATGGCAGGAGATTCGGAAGCTCGTTCCTCCCCTGCCTAGGAGGACTGAAAAGTTGTGACACTGGGAGATGCGGCGATAAGATGCGATAAGCTATAATGAACCCATGAACCTCAGCAGACCTGGGCTCTCAGAACCTTTTTGGTGCTCGAGAGTGCAAGTACTTCCACAGTAGCTTGAAGAGTTGGAGTCTTCAGGCCAGCCCATCGCCACAGACGTGCTTAAGCCTCGCGCAGCTGATATAGTCCTGGCCCCAAGTGATCAGCTGCTGTAACTTGCCGCGGCAGGGGCCTCAAATTATCAAGCACGAATCGGCGGGAAATCTCATGGTAAGCATAAGAGATATCTGAGGAGCGCTTACCGGCAATGAGATCTGCTGGAACCTTTGCCCGGTCTGGGTGATAATACCACCAGCCTACCACTAAACCCACCCATTAGAGGATTATTCCTACTACTTCCCCATTGCCAAGTCCAGAAAAGGAATTACCGACTAGCCCGTCCATATCCCCCTAAAAAGTGCATTTTAAATTCCCAAAGTTGGCAAGGGTTCCCTCATACATTTTACTAGATTGAGTTTCAAAAGTTGTAATCATAAATACATCGTAGCACAGTGGCTCGTAAAGAATCAAAATATACTATACTTCTACTTTCGTCTGATGGTACGGCTGATATGGTTTCTCACAGTGGTTTCTCCACACGCCAACATACCAGCATTTCTACAAGCATGACACAAACAGTGTTCCTTACCGTCAATCATTTTAATCAGATCAGGTTTAGGTCAGTCTTGCTTCAAAATCTGGATCTTCTAGTTTCTTCAAATAATACTGATGTGTTTGTGAATTTTCGTGTTGTGCTGTGATGAATTTCTTGACATCATAGCTGCCAATCTATCATGTAATCGTTTCATCGTTTCTGACATGGAATCTATCTTGTGCTCTCTCTCATTGATCGTGTCTCTGTTTGCTCTCTGTATACCCGCTCTCTTTCAATGACGCTGTCTTTGTTTCTTTCTTTGTAGCTCTTGCTTTTCTCCGTGCAAATATTACATCTCTTGTGTGTGCCATCAAACTTCTCAACTTTCTGCATAATTTGACATCCACCGCTATTTTCATATTCTATATGGGCGTTGTTTCTTTAAGTGCACTCTCGCCATTATTCCTTTTCTTGTTGTATTCTCTCATGGCACCGTGCGTTTACACTGCATTAAATACCTACCCGCTTTAGCATGATAAGATCGTTGAAAATACACCAAATGCTTCCATTCCTTGCATCTAACACGTTGCCGATCACAATGAGGAGGGTAAGACTCATTCTGACAATCCATGGTTATCTGGCCAACATATATATCTCATAATGTTGTATCTATGTACAAGATTTTTCATACTTTATTGATCTGCCCAGGCCTCGGGCCGTAGGCGTTTATGGCGTTAGAAAAGGCAAGCAGCGGATCTCATTCGCTTCATCCACTCGACTGAGTCATGGTACCACCCTGTGAGGAACCTTTGAACGAACGTCAACAAGAGAACCTCTGCCCGTTTTGGGATGATAGCACGACCTTACGGAATATGGATGGGTGGTCTTGGTAATGGGGAAAAATTTGGGGGAATTGTGGCAGGGAGTTTAGGAATCATCCTCCAATATGGATGTTGTAATCGGTTATTCCTATACTGGTCTTGGTTATGGGGAAGTTGTGGTGATATAGTTGGTGAGATGTAGGGGAGGGGGGAGGGGGGGTGGTATAATCTTCTAATGCGTGGGCTAGTGGCAGGCTGGTGGTATTATCAGCACCCAAAACGGGCAAAGGTTCCGCTAACTTAAGCCCCGCACCTGCCGGTTGCCACCTGCGACAAGGCGTCAGGCTTTGCAGGTGTTGTGAACTTCAATTGATTCACCGACAAAAAAACGGCTCCGATTTGCCCCCTCATGCAGAACATGTCGCCTCGCCTGACCTTTCGGAATGGTCCATTCTGGCGTGGTGCCTTCCTGCGAACCTGCAAAGGAGGTTGCACCGCCTTTTCACAACACTTTGGCCGAGCCCTGCTTTGCCGAATTGAACGCGTCATAGCAAACAGAAGCAGATCATGCACAAACACGCAAATGCAGATCAAACAGGGACGGAGCGACGAATCGGCTTCTTCGCCATGCCTTCTTCATATTGCCTTGTAAGCGTGTTTCGGCAGCTTCCGCCGGAGAAAGAAGTTTACCAAAGATGAAGGTTTGGGGACTTGCTGATCATTTCCATCAGGTTCTCGCAACCGAGCGGCCCGGGGCCCGGATTCTTCACGCCAGGCAGGAGGCGCTGGAAAGCTTGGCTGCGATCCTCTCTGCACGTGGGCGCAGTTTCACATGGATTGTGTTTTAAGCACGTTAAGCCCTCTCCAGCTTCCCAAGCCCATGCCTCGTAGGGCATGAAGACCTGCTTCCTAAACCAGGACTGGAAGCTCTGATGCAATTTGGCTCACTGTGTTCAACCAAGACCGTATGCAGACCATGCGATGCTTCACGATTTTATCTTCTTGTCAGCCAAGGCTTCTATTGGTTCGTGCGTGCAATCTATCCTCCGTCCTCAACTCCTTAAATCTCCTGAAGCTGTGCTCGTCTCTGCGGGTGGAGAGGGTGTCATGACTTGTGGACACTTGTGGAAGGCGGGCAGAAAGCTTGAATTGCGTGAGATCGAGATCTCTAAGATTCCTGGAGCTCAAGGCCCTAAGGGCCTAA